GGGAGGGAAAGGTTTAAATTAAGAAACCTTGGGCAAGAGCCAAAGTTTGTAGCACAGCCATTACCGAGGTTCAAAAGGGAAGGTATCATGATAATTGCATTGTCAAAGCACCTCAGAACGCTTCACAGGATATACTGGAAAGTGTGTATTTGTAAGCAAATGTGACAGCCAATTTGCACACAGCAATGTCCCACAAATGAAGTGAACAACCAATTTTATACGGAAGATTGTTGGCCTGGACACCAGGAAAAAAAATATTTTCCAATAGAGCCATAAGATCCTTAACCAAACAGAATTAAATGGACCTCAGTTTAACATCTCATTGTAAGGATGGCATGCAACGCTCCTAGTTAGACAAAATAAATGATGTACAACACCAACAAATTGCATTTATATATCACCCTTCACCAGTATAGCAACACTGCACAGTGGTGTGACTACACGCCAAGCAAGGGAGGAGGGTGAAGTGACCATAGACGTAGTCACAGGAACAGGAGGAGGCTATTCAAGACATCAAGCCTGTTCTACTCAAATCACTAAATGGGAGGGGTTCTCAAGATGGTAAGTTGGTAATACTTGGTAAGCATGGAGCTCCAGCTTTGGATTCCTTCCTTCCCACCATCTCCCGCAGGAAAGCTGAGGAGAAGCTGATTTTTAAATTGAGAAACTTGGGTTTAAGGCTCAGAGCCATAGTGTAGTACATCATTAAGAATGAAAACACAAGGGCGCACATTACTGTTGATTCGTAATCTTGCCAGCCTTGTGGCTCCATTATATACACAAGGTAGGTAACCATTAACCAATGGAATTATAAAAATCATTGCATTTGAAATGCTGCCTATAACATCAAAAAGCACTTCATGGGTAAGTGCTGTAAAGTCACTGTTTTTGTTGGTAAATTTGGGAGCCTATTTGTGTACAGCAATGTCCCACAAACAATCATGAAGTGAATCACCAATTTATCTTGGGTATTATTGCCCAGAATACTGGGAGTAACTCCTTTCTCCTTTTAATTAGTATGGGATCTTTAACATTCGCCTGAACAGGCAGACATCAGATTAACATTTCATTCATAGGATAACACATGTGACACTGCAACATTCCCCCAGCACTGTGCTGGAATGTCAGCCAAGACCAGAAGCTTAAAGTTCTGATGTATCAAAAATTGACAAATCAAGAAGTTGGGTTAAAAAGCCAAAACGAGGAGCTCAAAGTCCCAATTTGAGGCTTAAACCCACAACCTTCTCCCTCCAAGGTGAGAGTCTTACTGAACTGGACTGACACCTCATTTCTTAGTTACAAAAGAAAATTAGTTAAGTGGGTTTAAAATCATGTAGTTTGCGGGGGAAGAAGTCTACAGTTTGTTCACACATATCATGGAGTCCTGTAGCTCAGTTGTTAAAGCCCTTGCCTCACAGGCGAGAGACCTGGGTTCAATTATAATAATAATAATAATCCTTGCATTTGATATAGCGCTTTTCACATCTTCTAAACGTCTCAAAGCACTTCACAGAATGTACTGTAAAGTGAATTGACTGTATATTTGTGGGCGAACGCAGCAGCCAATTGCGCACAGCAATGTCCCACAAACAGTCGTGGATTGAAAATGACCAATTTATTATTGTTTTTGGTTTTGGAGGGATTATTATTAGGCTCTGTGTGGAGTAAGGAAACTTGCCCAAGGTTTCGCCCTCTGCCTGGAATTGAATTCAGGTCTCTCGCTTGCAAAGCGAGTGCTCTAACCACTGAGCTACAGGACTCCCCGACAGGGCGGAATGTTGGGTAAGTTTCCTTACTCCACACACCTCTGTTTACTCTGCAGTAAGTAGGAACCCAGTTCTTAGTCAACTGGCTGATCATTTTTCAGGGGGTAATAATTCCTTCAAAAAATAATAATAATAAATTGGTCACTTCAGTCCACGACTGTTTGTGAACACTGCTGTGTGCAATTGGCTGCCGCGTTTCGTTCACAAAATATGCAGTCAATTCACTTTACAGTATATTCTGTATAGTGCCTAGAGACGTCTTGAAGATTTAATAGGGCACTATGTCAAATGCAAGGATTATTCTTCCTTATACTGGAATTTGGTAAGCAGGGTGTGGCCCTCTTATTGTGATGGGTTTCCTCATGTGCCAGATATTCGGCTGACCAACAACAAAGCTGGATATCTTCTTTTGGTTTTGACTAAAAGTTGCCAGTTCTTACAGAGCTAAACATGTTTTCAGCAATCACTCAGGGAACTGGACTAAAGTAATCTCTTATAAGGATGGCCTCTGAGTAAGGGTTCGTTGGTGTGTGTAGAATTTCTTAATGCATAAATGTGTAGAAAAATACAGTACACAAACAAACCCATAAGCTCTTGGTAGTTCTAATAAATGCACTGAATTTACTGCACTAATTAATTTTGTTAACGTATGCTAACATTAAATACATGTAATATTACAAGGAGTCTAATAGGAGTCTACATGCGGGCCTGCGGAAATCGGTAATGCATTACTGGTAAGTACACTTAAATTCACTTAGAACTGGCCACTGAAAAGGTTGTCTGTACACTGACAGGGCTAAAAACAATGGTGGCCACTGGTCGTGGTTGCTGAATAAAGTTGGTTTATTGTGGAAATTGGTCGGTACTGTTCCAGGATGGTTGTTGACAGCAGGTGATTGCTGAATCCATAATGGAGTTGGTTGCTTTATATGCATTTATATGTAACTACTGCTGTCTTAGATCATAGTAATATTTTTATATCAAGTCACTAAGCAAAATATGTAAAGAACATGCACTGAAATGCCTGTCAAAAATTATAAAATACTCTGTCAAAAGAATGAACTGAAACTCTATTTTGAAGTACTATCCTTGTTGTTTACCAGCTGTTTATCATTATTCCTGTCCAGCTGTTCAAGTGGACATTAAAGATTCCATGGCAGTATTTGAAAAGACAAGGGAATTTCTCTCAATCTCCTAACTAACAAATTGCCTAAATAAGATTTGTCATTCACCTACTGTTTGTGGCACTTTGCTGTGTGCAAATTGGCAGCTGATTTCACCTCCAAAATACACTGTCACTGCACTTTACAGTAAATTCTGCGAAGGGCTTTAAGACATTCTCCCCACGTGAAAGGCGCTATATCAAATGTAAAGATAATTATTCTTATAATAGTGTATTACAGAGAATACTGCAGTTCAAAGACAAGGCACAAGGTGGCAATAGGGCTTCTGAAATCAACTGTCTTGAAAACATAAATATTGTATGTATGAGGATGTATCTGTGAACCAGAGATTTTAAGACAAACTGGAAAGATTAAATAAATCAGAAAACAATGGAATACATAGCAAAGAATCAACATCTGAAAGACAAACTATGAGTTAATCTCTCCAATAGGAACCAAACTAACTACCGTGTTTTTGTCAAAACATTTTTTCACACAAGTTTGTGAGAATACAAATGTACTTTTCTCAAAAGGCCTTAAATTCCCAAATATTTTGGAATGATTGCAAGGAAAATTGGCACGTAAAAGGAGGGATTAATGTATATGAAGAAACGACAGGGAAATAGGATTAAAGTGCATTTAAACGATAGCACATATTTGTCTTGCCCCACCTTCTGAAACTCTCCCCATCTCTGCGTGTAAACTCTTCCAAGCAGGGCAATTCAAATCAAGAGCTCTCCTGTCCACAAGAACAGGAACCCTTATCAATGATATGCTGCTCAACAATTCCAATGACAAAAACAGCCCAGAATCCCCAATGACACAAAATTGTCTTAGAAGAGTTGTAAGGCTGTGACAAATGGACAGATCCTCTTGGTTTTCTTCAGTATCCACTGAACTGTTCTTACCATTGTGCTATGATGTGAGAAACCTGACAGCAGAAGTGCTGCTCCCAAGTTCAGCCCCTGCTGTGCCTGTTGACTGCTACTTTTATTGTCATTTCACCTTCATTAATCTCAGTTGGTGAATTCTGAGCAGCAACTCCAGGGAAGTTAGACACACACACACACACATACACACATACATACAAATCGTGTCATGGTGCTTAGAACTGAAACAAACCAAAGTTGGATGAGAAGGCTAGGTGAACCAAATATGTCTACTCTTGCCCTGAACTGTTTCCATGTTAGTAAATGCCAGACATGGTGTTTATACCCTTTGAATCCTTTGGGTCAGTGTATCATAATGTCATATCTCTCCTGTTAGAGGACAGGCTTTGAATTCTTGCTCTGATTTTCATTCAACTGCTTGTATCATTTTTGGTCAGCTGGGTGTCTTGACATATGTGGAAACCCATCACCATGCTTAAGAGAATCCAAACCAAACTGAGATTTCCATGCATCCCACCTACACATGGAAATCCCAGGGATAGATTGTTGGAATGGAATGTGCACTCTCTCCCTGGAGAGACGTATCCTGCTTATCTAATTCAAGAAGGTATTAGCTGCACTTTGGCAAGGTTTAGGCACCCCAGAAGATGCGTTGGGGTACTGCTGTAGTCTAACCAGCTAAAACCGTAAAGCTTGCCATTGGTATCACTGTCTGACAAGCTTTGTTGCTGCTTGTCCAGCTAGGACCAAGCTACCCGTTAGGACTTTGGCTTCCGGGGTTAACAGATGCTGAGTGGGAGGATTTCCTGACCCCAGTAACTGGTCTGCCCTCCCAGTTGAGGGAGGCTCTCTGTGTTCAGGCTCTCTGTGCTGTCATTAGCAGGACCCTGGAATACTGTGGACCGGCCTGGCTCAGGAACCGGACTACCGAGAATGCCACAGAGCTGCCACTCCAATAATTCAGCCTCAAGGAGACCCCGCTTACTTCCGCCCCAAGGAGGATAGTCACTAATTGGTCTTTTGACATCTGACAGGCCCGGGGTTTAGGTAGGTGGATGGTAGGTACACCAGGAACTCCCTGCGAGCTTCCTGGTGGATAAAACGGCTCAGCATGAAAAAGCCGTGAGCGTTGCCCCGTCTTCCTGTCCGCAGCTGGAGCACACACCTTTTCTCATTGAGCGATGGTTCCACCAGTTGGAAGTGCAGAGTTTAAGCAGCTTGTGCTTACCCCTCAGCAAACCAATCAAGGTGGATTCCATGCTCTGGATGTACGAACGTGTGTTCAGAATCTCAGACTCCAGGTAACACCTTCCAGCAGTTGTCAAGATGTATCAACTGTCTGAACAAAGCACAGTCTATACACAGCATGCAATATCAAGATGCCAGATGGGAATCACTGAAATGGCTTTGGCTCACAATGCTACCAACATCAGCCCTACATTTGTTACTTCAAGCAAACTATGAGGTCCAGAATATTCAGAATATGAGGTACAAATGATCACCCGAACAGAGTGAATCACTGACAGGTACAGTTATAACAACCCTACCAAACCCGAGATTGCTGTTGCCATGGCAGACAATGCCGTTGGAATAAGGCAGACCAGTGACATTTTGTAAATGACCCAAAGATATCTTTTCAAAATCAGATTTGAACAGGCATTAATATGGGATATTTTATACTGTGCTGCTTTTTACAAATGCCCTGTCAGTATGTGGCATCTGGAATTAGACCAAGGTTCACCTCCGTTGTTTGGAGAGTTTACACCCTCAACTCCTCTGCCGAGAACCAGTCACAGTGGGAAATTTGTCTGCTCTTCACTCCGAATCACTGTGCCACTGGAAGTCAATTGCATTGGTGCTAAAGTTATTGAAAGTACCAATGCACTGCACAATATTTTGTGCTTAACAAAATAAAACAGTGCTCTGAATATATTTCCTCATATCGAACGTTAGCATAGATTTTAAGTGTATCTTTTATCTAATGAATAACCTTTCAAAGTTGCAGTGGTCACCTGTTCCTAACTATCATGCTGACCTGTTGCTTGCAAGCACACTAGCATTGTAAAGAATGGCATTAGATTAAATTCTAATCCATCTGTGATCTGTGACTGAATATGTTCTGCACTTACATAATCAACGGCCTGCAGTCAGATGATCCGAATTCTAGTTATTGTGAACATACCCACTCATACACCCTCCATATGCGAGTTGACATTGGGATATACAGTACGATCGTCATCAAATACTCACTAAAAAGCAGCGTTACTCAGATCAGTAGTTGTGTTAACTCAACAATACAATGCTCATCCAGTTGTTCCAGAGATAGGTAACAATATATCTGCACCTTTTCACTATCTTCTCACAGGTACCAAGTAGTTAGATAAGAGGGTAGTTAATACTCATAACAGTGCACTGTTTATCAGTTTTAAGTGTGTGGTGTTCACTGATATGATATATTTAAATGTATCAAATTAACCTAAGGTTAGAAAGAGGCATTGTAACTTTTCCAATTAATTTATTATGACAAGAATAGCTATGTGACTAGAAAGAGAAACAAGGTTCAATGTCATGTTCTTTTAATTGATTTCTAAAGGATAATGATACCTAATATAGTAAAAAGAAGTTAAAGATTAATTAACTGCATTAACATTGTCCATGAACTCTTGCAATACTTAATTTCTCAGAAAATACAATTGTGTTGCAATTACCTAATTTCTGAAAGAAATTTAATGAGGTAATGATGTCGGACTAAATAGGTTCGAAACTTACAAAGTTGATAAAGCTGTAGGTAAAAGCTATTAAAAGAGTCCTACGTTTTATAAATAGAGGCATAAGGTAAAGGGCATTGATAAACTTATACAAGTCATTAGTTAAGCCTTAGTTTGAGTATTGTATCTACTTCTGTGCATCCACTTCTGGGCATTCTACTTTCAGAAGAGTGTCAAGGCCATGGAGAGGGTACAGCGGAAAGTCATTAAATGATACCGGTGTGAGAGGTTTTACTTATCAGAAGAATTAGACAAATAATTGAAAAGCAAAGATCTAAAGAGGTATGTAGAAATAAACAAATAGTTCTTACAGATACCTGGCATAGGCTCAATTGGCAGAATAGCATCCTGCACTGAAATATTCTATGATTCTACAAAAAGAAAATAAATGATTTCTTTCTACATATATATTTTATGTATAATATATTTAAAACCCGGAACTCTGACCTTATTGAAGTGTGCAATGACATAAGAAGTGATGTAAATTTGCCTACTCCAGAGTGAAGCTCACACACTATAGTTATGGCATAGTGTAATCATGTGTTATGGTTAGGGCATTTGGGTTTTATTTTAGTAGAATGATTTTTCTTAACTGTTTTCAATGTTTTGGAGAGCTTCAATCAGCCAATAATCCTCATATTTTATGTAACTCATGCCACATTAGAGAACTGAAAAAAGCAAAGTTTGTTTCACAACATATACATTTATAATAATGTCATCCTAGCTCAGTTGCTAGCAATGTTGCCTCTGAGTAGGAAGTTTGTGGGTTCAAGCAGTACTTTGAACTCGCAGTCTAAGTTTACAATCCAATGCAATGCTGTAGGAGCCCTGTAAAGCTTTGTCAGAGCTGCAATCCTTTAGATGAGTCATTAAGACAAGGTGCTGTCTGCCTGTTAAAATGGATAGTGAAGTTCCCATGGCATTAATCGAAAAGAGAATTGGGTTTCCCCTGGTGATATTGCCAACAATCCTTCAGAGAATTTATTTTCGTCATTCATGGTTCTTTTGAGACATTGCTATGCGCAAAAAATAGCTGTTGGGTTCATCTACAGATATGGTCACTCTTTACTGTATAACCTGTGAAGCACTTTAAGATGCGCTCGTGGTGTGAAATGCACTGCATTAAATGCAAGGATTTTTATTACAGATACACAGTCACAATAAATCTTGTAAGGCATTTGAGATATCTTGATGATTTGATAAGACACTAAATGCAGTACTATGATCAGGTTGTAGATTTTTAATGCTTATCATACATTATTATCTTGGTAACAGAAATTAAAATTATTTTGAATAAAGAAATTCAAATTTCTTTTGAATTAAGAAACATGAAGAAAGAGTAAGGTTTCAGCATTTGCAACATGAATGAAGAGAAATATATTGAATTCTGACTGGGAATGCAGCCAAAGATAAATAGATAAATGACTAGAAGGAGATCCAATGATATTTACATTATTGCAGTATCCACAGAAGAACATTGCTATGCACTGAAGGACGAGTTTATTGACTATGTGATCCAGTGATTAATATGAATTTAATTTAATTTGATGTTGGGTTAGACTTGCTGCAGAGTGATCATTTCTAAACTCAGCAATCAATAGACGTAGATGGCTGACACTATCTGATGCCTTGTCAATGTATCCTGTCAATATAGCAGGCAATCCACACAAACAGACAGGCACAGGAACACAAAAATATGGAAGCAAAACATTTTGTTTGTTGCAAGAACAAATTGGATAGATTTCTGCTAGAAAATATATAGTTTGGGACACGATATGTCAAGCGACTGCCAGGATAGTGGAAAGCAAATTGGATAGACCTTGGTCTTCTTTCGCCTAACAAATTCTTATGTTCTTATGTTATAAATAAAACTGTTCATTTACACCATGGCTACTTGAAGGACACATTATCAAATTGTGCACATATTGTCTGCTGCATTCACCTACAAACCACACGGTCACTGCACTTTACAGTAAATTCTGTGAAGCGCTTTGGCATGTCCTCCTAACATGAAAGCTATACCAAATGTAAGAATCATTATTATTATTATTTAAAAACCAGGGCTCTGACTCTGATCACCATCCAGTAACCCTTTTGAAAAATAAGTGTTTGTGTGTGTGTGTGTGTGTGTGTGTGCATTGAGTGAAGACAGGGGACCAGGCTCAGAATCATGTCATCCCATTTATCACGATTGAAAAGGGTGGCAACACTCACTGTAGGCTTACATATGATCAGCCATTTGGACGAGCTATCACTGCCATCCATAGAACCCCAACCGAAGGACAGGAAGGGAGAGAATAAAAATGCAGTGTTACTGCCTAATATATTATTGAATAATAAAGATTCATGCCCCAGAAACTATCTTAAACAAATAAATACATTTTACCATTAAACAACTAGAACAATGGCATTCACCAACCCTTTATTGAAGACCATTATCCAAATCAATGTCGCTCTCAGGAACGATCCAATGCACAACATGACAAAGAAGAGGATCAAATTATACAGTATTTGCATAATCGCAGAATCCACAGAAGAATATTAGGTAGCAGACTCCGATTTGCACCTGAAATAGGCTTCTAGTTATACTTAAGGCACTATGTCCCTTCCCTCCCCTCACCCTGACCATTTCCCCCCTGCTCGGGTCATGACCCAACTGTGCAGCGCCTTGGGACGTCCTCCTGACGTGAAAGGCGCTCTATAAATGGAATCTTGTTGTTGTATGAGCAACTGATAAACGATGAGCTCACTTCTGCACAAGCTGGAGAGGAAACCGAAAATTAGTCAAGTTTCCCACCTCTGTAAATTGCGCAGTTGCTCTGGATCTCTTGCTTACTTCAGTTATAATAATAATAATAATAATAGTAATAATAATCTTTGCATAAAATTTGATAAAATATGGCAGCCAATTGCGCACAGCAGTGTCCCACAAAGAGTTGTGGATTGAGCAAACAATTTTTGTTTGTTTATTAAGGTATTATTACCCCGGGAAAGCGATCTGCCAATTGACTAACAACCTGGTTCCTCTTACGTCTTCGGAAACAGAGGCATGGGGAGCAAGGAAACTTAGCTAAGGGTTTTGCCCTGGCCAGGAATCAAACCTGGGTCTTCCCGCATGCGAGGAGAGTGTGCTAACCCCTAAGCTATGGGACTTATATTGTCATGGGGTTAGTGGTTTGGCCTATAAACAGAGACTGGAGGAACTCGGACTTTTTTCGCTAAAACAAAGAATGTTGAGTGCTGACCTGATAGAGGTCTTTAAAATTCTGATAGTCAATAGGGAGAAATTATTTCCACTGGTCAGTAAATTAGTGTCTAAAGGGCATTAATTTAAGATTTTTAGCTTAAAGTAGTTTGCTTTTACTGAAACCTATTAGACTCTTTAAAACTGTTTACCTATGTATTACAATTACAGGCTAACATTTACTTTCAGTTTCATTAACACACTTTCATTAACACACAGTTTCATTAACACTTTCATGTGGAGTCCTGTAGCTCAGTACTTAGAGCACTCTCTTTGCAAGTGAGGGACCTGGGTTTGATTCCCGGTAGGGTGAAACCTTGGGCAAGTTTCCTTACTCCACACGCCTGATAATAATCCCTAAAAAATAAATAAATTGGTCACTTCAATCTACGACTGTTTGTGGGACACTGCTGTGCACAATTGGCTGCTGCGTTTTGCCCACAAATATACAATCATTCACTTTACAGTCTATTCTGTGAAGCGCTTTGAGACATCTAGAAGACGGAAAAGCAATATATCAAATGCAAGGATTATTTATTACTTATTATTATATACTCTGATTTTTTCATAATTAAAATGACAGCTTCAGTAATGTTCCTTCAAATTGCTGAGCAGTTTTTCATCTGGAAAGTCAGCCTTTTGTATGTGAAAACCAAGAGTGGGGATATTCCTTCAAATGACTGAAGTTCAGAGACTTGAATTGATTAAAAGTCTGCAGGAAATGTGCGTCAAAAACAGTACTACAGTTGGTTTAAAACAGTACTTTCAATTGCTTTGGGGTGCAAGGATAATTTCCTTGGGATTTTTTGCTGGATAGTGGAAACCTAGAGACAATAGTGCAAATCTCAGCATCATTCCATGATGGTCAGCCTTTGTGATGGAGAGAAGCTGAGGTGGTGATGTTCACCTCTGGTTAACTAGAGTTTCCAGAACCACTATAGTACTGTATCACAGTTTTCACACACAAATGAAAGTCAAAACCGCAAAAAGCACATTGATTTATTTTGTCTGCTGCTAATTTTTGATCTTAAATAATTCTGAGAAATATCCCTGATGCTTTGCTGAGCACAGGAGATTATTATATTGTATATTTAGATCAATGCACTTCTACCACTCCATGTGTTTCATTATACAGTATCTGTTATTTTGTGTTGAACAGCTGGGAAAGGACAAATATACCTTAATATGACAGTGGAGGAAGGACTGAATATTATTTGAAAATAAGTGATGCTGATCGGGTTTTATCAGAAACTTAGTACAGGAGTATTTTAATTCACATACAGGTTATATAGTATCCCCCATCCCCGCAATGCACAACTCTGTAAAGCTCAAGGCATCATATAAATGTAAATTTTACAGTATTTCCAATAAGGAAACAGTAAAGAATTGTAGTCAATTTCTGAGGTTCATTGAGGTAGGAAGCTATAATTCCTATTACAGGAATTTGTAGGCAAAGGCATTCTGCCATGGTTTACAGAATACACATTGCACCACACTTTACAGTAAAATCCTATGAAGCGCTTTGAGATGTTCTCCTGACTTGAAAGGTGCTGTGTCAAATGGAAGGATTATTACCTGTATTACAGGGGGAAAAAAATAGCTAACCCTGTAAACTCTTGTCACAGTGCCGGAACACCTCCCCCACCCCTACCGAAAATGCACTTTTAAATATAGATAATTATAACCTGGTCAAATAATCTTAAACATGTACTGATCTAACCATTTCCAAATCAGATCACACGGGAAGTGATCACTTTGGACGAGCAGTAAACGGACTGAACCAGGGATCGGGCTGTTTTTCAGTTGTAGAAAATACACAAGGCATTTCCCTTTGCTGTGTATATAAAATATCCAGTGTCCATCAGTGCCGCCATATAACTAACTGTAGTATCCATTTCAGCTCGCAGCCTGGCAGTGCAGTGTGGCCCACTTCGCTGGGAACATTATTTCATTCTGTGGGGTAAGAATCTTTTTTTTTCCTTCATTGCAAAGGCGACCCCAACAAAAGGTGCAACTCGAGGGCTTTGACTTAAACGTGTTGTTTGAGGCGGAGTACTCACTCCCTTCTGTTTAACATTACCTTAAAACTGAGCAAGATGCCAGCCAGCAGCTATTTGCAGGCTGCACTCTCTGATCTGACTGCATAGAGATGCCAATTTGCAGAGGGGAAACCGGTCTGTGGAGAATATTACTTCCACATGAGGCTATTGGCAATGTTAATTTATATGCTGTCCCTCTTTGATTCCTAATGCTTTCTTTCTCTCGTACTGTGCAAACGCTTTGACTATGCAGCTTTTTTTTTCTCTCTCCATTTGTTAACCTCGCTCTTAAATGCAAACAAGCAGGATTTATTGAAATCTCTGGGGGGTGGGAATAGCTACTCACTGGAGCCACACAGCGCGGTGGAGTGCCTCTGGTGTTCAACAGCATTTGCCATTAGTTCCAGGTACGATATGATGGAGAGGTTCATAAATCTCTGCTGAAGCTGATCAATAAAAAAAAAGCCTTATAACCGCAGTTGAGGAATCCCACTCCAGCGCTGAGACACTGACCAGCAATTCATTTGGTGGTGAGAGAGAGAGAGCTCTGCGCATTTGAGCATTTAGTTTAGGTGTTAGTTACTGTAAAGGTGGATGTGGAGAGTGCTCCTGACGTGCATCTGGGGATCTGCGGAGGGCAGAGAGGAGGTACAGGGAATGGGACGAGGATATTCAGCTGCAGGTGCTCCATAATATTGCCTGGGTCTCAGCCCCAACCAACGCCAGTGAGTCTCAAGTCGATGTCACGCCAATCTACACTGTTTGAACACTTGGGAAAATGCGTGACCAAAAAAAATGTAACCTCTGGTTAATTACTCTTAAAATATTCTGTGGTTTTGCTGATCTCGTTTCTAATTCTGTCCGCGTGGAAAGCGATCGGTTTGGAAGAGCAGTGGACAGACTGAGTTGGGATCAGGCCGGGATGCCGATGTGGATTGTGTAGGGAACAGAGGCGAATGGCATATAGTCTAACGTTAGCACTGTAGCCAAACACTTGGCAGTCAGAATAAACCAAGTTACTTTCCCTGAAAGAAATATATGGTGTATTTGCAGTGTCAATATCTGAGAGGAACATTTAAATGGGGCTGTGCAGGCAGATGAGTGGTAGGGGCTAAATAATGGAGATGTAAATGTCTGCTATTAACTAACTTGGATACATTTCTTTTTAAATAGACAGAGCCACATAATAAGCAGACGCACAGATCTATAAATGAGCACATGCATGAAGATAGATGTTGGGAAAGAGAGTCGGATCGCATGTGAAACCCTTCAGACTTTCGATGGCGAGGCTTTAGAAATAAAGTTTAGCTTTTCTTGGAAATTGCCTTTGCAGATCTTCGTTTAATGTGTGACTTACTCTTGCTCTTCGGAGATAAGATAAGCAGCGTTTGAATCCCAGCCTCAGATACCTAAGACAGAATGCAGAGAGAAGCCCTGGCTTGGTGTAATAAATAGTTCCCAGTGGGAAAAATCTTGCACTGTTAGTTCTTAAAACATTATTATTGAGTTTGTGTTTGAGGTGCCGGGCTGGTTGTTGGAGGTGCTGGGGTTTCAGTGAGAGCAGTGTGTGTGTATGTGTGTGTGTGTGTGAGAGAGAGAGAGAGAGAGAGATGCGATGCCACCTGATGGAGACGGCATCGCTGTGTGAACTGTCTTTTTTCTCTCTCTCTCTCTCTCTCTGACCATCTCCAAAGCACCGCCACTCACTGCCAACCCTTCTCGAGTGCATGACAGCTTCTCCATGAGCTACAGTTAACCAGACATCTGGGGCTCCAGATGATCAACAACATAGGATTTTAACCAAAAAAAAAGACTCCATGTGTAGCGAATGTTCAGTAAAGTCACAATGAATTCTCTGGAGGGAAGTGTCTCTGTGAGGTTAGGATAAACAGGAAGGGCAGTCTGTGGTGCTGGGTTTGCAGGCTGAGGAACACTGTAAATTTGTGCCCTGCAACTCCACACTGCGGGTCTATTTTATGTGGAAATTGCCAAGTTCAGGGCGGCACTGGGGAGTTCATTGTGGGGGAAAAGAAAGATGTAAACGAATCCTGCCAACTGGTGTGTGAACTGAGTTCATTTGCTTTTCAATGCCTCTGATCGATTATGCTGCATAAAAACCCCCGGGGGAGGAGGGAGAGCGAAAATGCGACATTTTATAATACTTATCACATTTTCACCTTCTTGCTCCTGTCCAAAGTTCCCACATCACTGCTGTGGAGATAGATATCTAAGGTGATCTCATATCTAAAGTGGTCGATCTTACTCATGTGGCTGATTTGTTAAGAGTAGCATTTGGAGACAGTCCTATATATATATATATATATATATATATATATATAAAGGGAGCGATAAAATAGACAGAAGTGGAAATGATATTACTGGAGAGGGCAAAGTGCGAGCAGAAATAAGAGTGATTAAATGTCAGCACGCCTTTGTAATTTTGGTGTTGATGTTGTTAAAGGTTTCGACACCATCACTGACTCTCTCCTGTGGTGCCAGTGGGAGAGAGCAGGAATGTGCTCCTTCTCTGTCTCTTGGTCTCTGATGTGGGATTGCATTGATGACTTTCTATCAGCGGAGCAGCCGTGTAGCGATTGCCAGCGGCTAATGTCCGCGTTGGGGTGGGTTTGTGTTGTCAAAGCATCTGATCTGCTCTCTGGTTAAATATAGCCAGTCCTGCAGCGAGGGGAAGATTTAATGGCAAATGATTGACATTCTTTTTCCAAAAGGCAACAGCGACGCCAGCATCAAGTTTGAACTGCAGCCGAGTCGGGATGTTCCTCATCGCCTTAGGACTTTTTCAGCAACTCTGTTTCTGCCATGTGTTGGCTGAAGCCAACTTCTTGGACAACCCTCTCGGGCTGCAAGCAGGTAAAGCAGGGGCGAGATCACACCAAACTCTCTCTCTCTCTCTCTGTCTCTGTCTCTGTCTCTCTCTCTCTCACACACACACACACACACAGCCTTGCGCTTGCACACACCCCACACCCCCCACCCCCCACCCCCCTTTGCCCAAATGCATGCGATCCGAAACGGTGGGGACTCACTCACCACTCACCCCGGGGCGAGTGTGTAACATTGAGTGGTCAGCACTCCAGATGTGACCCAAACCTTGTTCTCATTCAGGCACTGAGCGAGGTCCCATCCCATCCCATCCCCGCCGTATATATATATAGATATATATATATATATTATATATATATATCTGACCTGGATCTGGATGTTAAGAGGTGTTTTTATTTCAATCCCCAGTATTGTAAACCCGGTGGCGTGTCTTCACGTTGCCTCTATTTTCGGTCAGTTCACGAGGAGGGGAGGAACAGGGTCCACATGTAAATCTGTTGCTAAAAATACAGGCGGCCCCTTCCTTATTGCTATAGGACTCCAATCGGATGTAAGAGAGTAAACATCAGCTGGCTCCACACATATCACACTCTCAGCTAAGCATGTACTGAAATAACCTGCTCGGCCAGGAGGGTTTAGTCGGAAACTATTTTTGATTGTTTAGCACGTTGTCGTGGAAACACCAAAGTCACACATCTTTCCCTTGGAGTTAGCGAGGAGGGCAAGTTTTGAAGACATCTGTCAGAGGTTCCACTGAGCAGCTAAAAAATGCCATGTAGGAAGGAGCCAGAGTGCAACAGGTGCCCCACGTTTTACATGTAATAATAACGCAGATCCTCTTAACTCTTTTAATTCTGGTTTATTTTCTTTCCAAACCCTTTACTTGCTTTTAATACTGATGCTTGCGTTTGATACAGGGCCCCTTATCGAGTCTTTGACGCGTCTCAAGAGCGTCTCGCGACGCTTAGAGCGTTCTGGGACGCTACCCTGCACGAGGGGCACTATACACATGCATGTTGCTGTTGTTGTCTTAGAAGGCTTCACAGAGTATACTGTAAGGTGAATTGCCTGTATATTTTGTGGGCAAAACACGCCAGCCGATTGCGCACAGCAGTGTCACAAAAACAGTCATGTATGAGTGACCAAATTATTACTAATATTTTTTTTAAAAATTAACTTTTATAGCATGGTTGAAACGAAACGAGCGGAGGGGAGAATACAGTTCAATCCAGCTTGGGCAGTGTTAAAATATGCCTCACACACTATCATTGTACCATACGGCTCCATCCCAGATTCAGTCACTGGTTGGTGGGGATATGCGTTGTATACCAGTATTAATATTGCAGAAGGAATATAGATTCGGTCAAAGTGATAAAAGGCCAATTACTATAGATTTATTCGGGGAGTACAGTATTTTCTTAGTTTATTTGTATTTTGAACAAGGTCCAGCAACGATAAAGCGATTCACAATGAGTACCAAAGTAGACAAAGAAAAAAAGAAAAAAATCAAAAATACTTTTTTCAACATTTTGGACCTTAATAAAAATAAATAATAATCCTTGTATATGATACAGCACCTTATCATGTCATTGAGACTTCTCAAAGCACTTCACGGAATATATTGTAAACTGAATTGACAGTGTATTTGTCGGCGAAATATCTTCACAATCTAACATAGCAGTGAATCAGCCAGCAGGTCTGCAGAAGCTGCAGTCCTCCCATCAGTGCAGCAACAGTGTGAGTGGCTCAGCCAGGGTTAGAGAATGGAATTGGTTCCCAAGGGTAGGGTGAAAGGGAATGTTCATGAACCTGGCCTCCTGCCTAGACACCTTCAATGTTATTCAGGATAGAGAACCAGAGACTCATAATTTCTCCTAGTCTAAGCCTAAAGACCATTGTCTTAAAGTCTAAGATTATAATGATTATCAATTTAATTTGGGAGCTGGGCTTCTGTAGATATTTATAAAAAGTAGGTAAAAAGAATCCAACTTAAGAGTGGAATTAAAGGATTTTGTAAAATTAAGTACAATCTTAAACAATCATCTTAAGGCTAAGACCAGGAGAAATTCTGGGTCTGAGGCATATAGGAATTTAGTTGTGAATATGCCTTTCTTTTGCAGTCTGATATTAGAGTATAATCATTCAGTAACTCCTAAATCACAGCTTTAAGTTATGTATTCATAGCAGTTACATGCAGTGATGATGTAATTATTATTAATAGAGTACTGTAAAAAAAGGCTGAAAATGTTGGTGATCAAAAATAAATATGACAAAGCAACAGTTAAAAATAAAGATTTTAAAAATAAAGCCATTCAACACTATAGAGGTTATTATTTACTTGTAGGTAAATTGACCACAGTGCATTATTCAATACTCGTCGGAAACATTATTGACCTTTGGTGATGTGTGCTTACAATGGATACTGTGGCAAAGGTCAATATATATGTTGATAAGAGTAGAATAATTTACCAAAAGACCACGGCCTCTGCAGTATGTATGAGTGAATTCTAAAATACTTATAATGAAATCCAGTCTATTGGTTACAGCAGTATAATGTCCCATTGATATTTCAGGTTAGTTTAACGCTTATACCTGCTTTGGAACAATGCACACTGATATCATCAAGTTGGACTCGAGCAAAGTAGAGCTCAGAAAATTCATAATTGCACTTATGTTTCAGTGTTTATGAAGTGCCAGTACCACTGTGGGCTCTTTACTAAGCTCTATTAATGCCTCTATTGTCAATTAGATTCAATGTATCTCCATTGTGAAGTGCTGTAGGTCAGTGGTTAGAGCACTTGCCTCGCAAGCGAGAGACCTGCGTTCGCTTCCCAGCAGGGTGAAATGTTGGGCAAGTTTCCTTACTCCACATGCCTCTGTTTACCTCATAGTAAGTAGGAATCCAGTTGTTAGTCGCTTTTCCGGGGGTAATAATCCATTAAAAAATAATAATTTGATCACTCAATGTATGACTGAGATTGAGTGGGACACTGCTGTGTGCAATTGACTGCCACATTTTGCCCACAAAATATAAAGTCAATTCACTTTACGGTATATTCTGTGAAGCACTTTGAGGCATCTTGAAAACATAACAAGGCGCTATATCAAATGCAAGTATTATTATTATTATAAACATTATAAATTTTAAATTGAATGGTTTGCTTGACAATGTCTGCAGGTACACTGCAGCTTATCCAAAGTTAGAGCTGGTTTCATATTGTTTTTGTACTTTTAAGTCAATTTGCAGAATTGATGTTGATTCACTCTAAATCGTCCAAATGAAAGTGTGTTCATGTTTTGCCACATTAGAGCACTCCAAACAGATGCAGCTCGTCTGGAGTAATTAATGCTCAGCATAGGATTAGTAGAAAGTATATCACCAAGCAAAGTCAAAATTATACAGTCCATTATCACGGTTCACAAGTTCAGTTTCAAATGTTTTAAATGGAACTCATGTTCAGTTTCAAGGGAGGCTCTGATGAGAGATAAATCATTAAGGACAAACCATATTGAAACCAGGGCAGAAAGAGCATGAGAAAATATTGCACTGTTTCCCGGCTCTAGAAAACTTCCTCGGTCCACCCTATGCTCATCAGACTTTACTCTTTGCCCCAGCTCAAGACATTAGTTATACATAATGCCAAATGCAGATAAAACATCCCATATTAATATGGTTTGGTTAATGCTTAATGCTTTTTCAGCCTGAGCTCCTTCTCTAACATGGCAATCCTTCAGTCAGAATAGTGGGAATAGGTTTGATTGAAGTTCAAGCAATAGAAGACATCAAACGTAGCACCAATGAACACAGACAATTTATTTACAGTATTACAACACAATGCATTCTCAATCTCCAGACAGCCCCGATGGTATAGTGGATCAGCATCAGCCTACTGACCAGTAGCTCGCTGGTTTGTTGACTTCAGTGAGGGCTGTTTCAAGAGTCTAAATTGGCCCTGGCTTTTCCTGGATTAGGGAGGTTTAAATCAACAGGATAAGCATTCCTGGTCCCTCTAGCACCCTCTACTAGTGATGAATGTGCGTGATAGACAGGGGTGAGAGAGGTGGGCTCAGCTCAGACATCCTCTGTGGTCGAGTGGGCAGCCAATACTTACTGCCAAGGCTCACACATGAATAGTGACCACTTTGGGTATGGGGTGGGGGCAGTGCCATGGAACCACACCACAGCATGAAGAGGATGGAGATCAGGAGCAGAAGCATACACCAGTGGGGAGAAATTTGGAAACATTATTTTTTTAAATGAATTTGAGATAAGCAGTGTTACACTTCTAATCCAACTTCAAGTTTATCAGGCACAACTAACTTTTAATCTACCCCTATGATCAGATTTAGGTGCAGGTGGAGTAGCAGCAGACTTTTTTACAATAGAGAGCAGTCCTATGTGGAAATCCCTCTTATTTAATCTGTGCAATGCTTCTCTCTCTGGATGACCTCTATGTGGCATTATACTTCAAGTACAGTACCAGCTGCTGAACTCAGGGCTTGCTGACAAGAGCACAACCAGGAGAGAATGAGCACGGTTAGAGAAAGCGAGAGAAAGACAGGAGTTTGCCTTTCAACCTGGTTTCTTTCCCAGTATGTGTTTAGCAGAGATAGCATTGGGTGATATGGTGATCTGTATGTTAGGGTAAAGGCCGGGCAATCGAGCTTTTCCGCACAGCTCTGCTGAGATCAACAAACCAGTGAGCTACTGGCGAGCCACACCAACCCCCCTCCCCCTCCCCACCTCATTATTCTCATTACTATAGTACATGGAGATTCCATTTGCTCTTTTGAACCCAGTGATCTCCTCCAGCTCTATTCCATTGAGCATCTGAGCATCCCCTCCCTTCCTCTGCTATTTTAGGTCTGAGAATGGAATGAGATCAGGAATAATGCAATTTTACATTTCACAGTAAAATTCCTGTGAAGCACTTGGAGATTTCATAAAAGGCATTATATTAAATGAGGATTATTATTATTATTTTGACTCCTTGCATGTTAATATGTCTGATGTGATGATGGTCCTATGAATACTGAAAGTGAAAGATACAGGGCTCTGCCAATTGATGTGATTTCAGTGAAAATTACAATCAGCGCTTATACTAATGGCACAATAGGTAAGTAATCATTCAAGCAAGGGAGAGGGAAAAGGGGAGATGGGCAAGTGGCCATAGAGGTAGTCAAAGAGGTAGCTTTGAAGGCGGGTTTGAAAGATAGAAAGAGGTGGTGAAACAGAGGGATAAAGGGAGTGAGTTGCAGAGGTAAGGGGCATATTAGCTGAAATCTTAACCACTGTTGGTGGCACGTTGGAGGCAAGTGAGACCCAGCAAGCCCAACTTAGCCACAGGAGGGAGCAAGCCTAGGAATAGGGTAGAAGATCACAGATATAGGGAGGTGCCAGAGTATGAAGGGACTTACAGGTGAGGGTGAGGAACCTGTAATCAATCTGTTGGAAGACAGGAAGACAGTGGAACCTGAGAAGGATTGGGATGATGGGTGTGCAGAGTTTGCTGCTGGTGAGGATGCGGTATCGAAGTTTAGGATTAGCATAATTCATTTACTTTCTCAGAAGATCTTCAATACAATTCCACATGTGAGGCTTTCAAGAAACATTAGGCTCAGACAATTAATGTAAAATGAATTACCTGCATTGAAAACTGGTTTAGCAATTAAACCTAATGAGACAATAAATGGCTGCAGGAGTAATGGTCGTCTCAGATCATTTAAATATCTCACTAGTAGTCAGGAACGGGGGAGAAATGCTTCATGCGAACACGGGTATTTAAGTACAATATTCATGTGTGGAGATTATTATTCCTCGAGTAATAACAATGTAGGTAGAGATTGAAAACACAGCAAGCTCCCTGCCTGTATTGCTGTGATAGTAGAACACATACTGCAATACAAAAGTGGCATTCATGTGTACAACATTTATTTCTTTTGAGTTTTGAGTTTGCTTGGAGTTTAATGGAAACAGATCTCTTGTAGACACTGAACACTGTGTTAACACTACACATCACTCCCCAATGTAACTTGTTAATTTACAAAGGATTCAATAAGGCACTTTAGAATAAGACATTGAAATGTATACATGCAGTTTAATCTGTCTTATTTTTGTGAATTACTTTAATAACTATTATTACTTTGAGATAATTTTTATTACAGCAAGTGCAAAACGTGTTTGGTTAATTATTCTGGGGAGATTCTGAGAAAGAGATGGCATCCATGTATGATAGCTTCACATGAACAGCTCCTCAGCTAAGCACACACATTAACTATCTAAACTTGCAGTGCCTCTCGTACTGAGCTGGATTGATATGACAATGGCATAGCATCAGTGGAGTAAAACTAACTTATATCAACACATTTAAAATGTAGCATTAAACACATTTGGAAACCTTGACGAACAAGACAAGGACTTGACTGACAAGGATTGATACTGGCTTGTATAATTTTGCTTCATTTTTTAATAATAAGGGAAACTTCAATTAATATGGAGGAAGGCTACAAATACGTTTACAGATGTTGGCAACAACAATTTGCATTTATATGGCACCCTTAATGTTGAGGTAGAGTCTTGACATGTGAAGTTTGACATGGAGCCACAGAGAGAAAGGAGGTGACCGTAGGCACATTTAAAGAGAAAGGACTTCAGCTGTGATCTGAAGACTTGTAAAGAGGGGGCAAAACGGAGGGTTTGAGGCAGAGAGTTTTGGGCGTAGTGTCTTAAAAAAGAATGGCGGCTGTTGATGGAGCAGAAGGGACAGGAAGGCTGCAGCCAGCTGAGTGAAGGAAGCAGATAGAGTGGGGTGTAAGCAGAGGTAGTGAGGTGCCAGGACATGATGGATGAGAACATTGTATTCTCCACTAGTCAATAAATTCACAGACTTTGAAAGTGTGAGTTTATAACATATCTAATACTAAATTCTCATTGTGAAAATCTGTAAATCTATGGATCAGCAGAGAGTACAGTGTTCCCATCTTTCAAGGCCCATAAATTGACAGATAATTGGGGAATCAATCCCTTTGTTTACTTTATGAACTGTGTTGCAATACTAAATTGCTGCTTTTTAAAAGCAAGACATTGAAGAGGAATTGCCTTTTAAGATCATTCTATTTCATTGTTCCAATATCTGGTTTCCTTTCTCCTTAAACAGAAACATTCTGAGCTGCAGCAACTACAAGAAGGTAATGTGTTGATTGTATTTTCCTTTTATGATGTAGCACTGACGGCTGTGGAACACAAGAAAAGAAGCACTAACAAATGTTGTCTATTGACCCCTCCACCACCCCCAATGCTTCCACCACCCTTCTTCAGTGAACGCAAAATTCTTGTGAGTACCACTGAGTTTCTTAATGCCATGCCATGGCTCCGACCTGCGTGGTTCCCACTTGTTGCATTACTCAGGTGACTGATCCGAGCTCTACTGATCTTGTTATGTTGGTGACTGTTCTGAGCACCGTTAACCCCACTTATGTATCTGATGATCCAAGCTCCACTAATCCCATTATGTGAGTGACTGGTCGGAGTTTCATTCCAGGATTACTCACCTTTGTGAGTGTTGGCTCATCATTTGCAGATTTCAACAGGCATTGCCTTGCATTCTATAACAGCTGGAAAAAAAGGCTTTGAAGATAGATTTTAAAGCTAAGACACTGCTGTGAACTGCACTGCACTGAGTATAAATACACTTGATGAAGATTATCTAGTGATGTATGAGGGTAGGTTACCAAAGTACTGTGCCATGGAATGCACACTGTGAATTCCCAATCAAGCCAGGCTCCTCACCATATCACTGTAAGGCACTTATCTTCAGGGTACTATGTATACTATGTATTGTCACTCCTAGTCAGGGAGCATGACAAAGGCAGAGATCTGCAGCAGAGCCCAAAATTCCTTATTGCCTTAGCTGCATAATCATTTTCAGAATTGCAAATTCTGCACAAGTTCTTGTTATAACTGTGGGATATTGGCTTCCAAGTAAGATTGCATTTAAGAATTTTGCAAAGTTCTGTGGGATCTTAGGCTTTAAAGTAAATACTGTGCGAACATTTAGGGGTTTAGTTCCTTATGGCGAATCTTTCAGGTGGGAGTGGCATGTGAGTAAGACGGACTATTATTTAATGAGGTTAAACCTAATAGGGGGAAAGAGTCTGACGTTGAAAAATCTTTTTCAATTTGGTACAAGGTTGCCACTGAAGCTTATGAAGGGAAATGACCCTGAGTTTGATGAATGGTATCCACAGTGTTATAAAATACTGAATTGTTTCCCATGACAGCTGATTATGATGTTTAAACATCACTAACTGTCTGCAGCATTTGGACGGGACGCTAACCAGCCGCACCATTTACTGTATTAATGAGTCAATGTTTATAGGAGCCAGTTGCGATGTTTGTATAACAGCAAATATTTTAATGGTATTTATCCGTCTGCAGTTGTTAGATAATAATGTTTGAACTGCTCTTTAACTCATGATTGAGTTAAATCCTTGTTAAAAAATCATGGCACCATGTGCAGGAATGCACATTTAAAAAGAGAAGGGAGTTTCTCCCAGAGACCTAGCCAACAATAGACCTCTCTCCCCCCAAAAAATGGTTCATTGGCTTGTGGAACATTTCTGTGTACAAATTGGCTACTGATTTGCTTATAAAATACACACTTTATAGTGTATCCTGTGAAGCGTTTTGAAACATCTTCCCAAAGTAAAAGGAGCTATATCAAATGTAACGATTATTGTTAAATGTAAAGATTATTATTAAATTTAAGGATGGTTTTGGTTGCACATTTCAATGCTGACTATTGCAGTCAGTAGAGGTTTTCATGATCAAATAGCTATTGAGGCTTAGACCAAAATGACATTTAAAAGGGAATTTTGAAGGGGAACAATATACATAAAATATATATACCAGCATATAAAACATTCGTTTCATATCCCCATTCCTATTTGCCTCACCATTGGCAGTCAGACTTTCAGCCTCTTTGCTCCTACTCTCTGGATCTCCGTCCAGGAGTTCCTTCCGACTTGTTCACTCTATCAGCTCATTCAAGGTTCGTCTCAAAACCTGCCTCTTTGACCGTGCCATTGGTCATCTTTCCCCTCCACATCCCTGTCAACTCTCACCCCCCCACACCCAAGCACAGGTGCTCAGCCAGTACTGCTAAGTACTTTGGGCATCTTCCCAAAGTGAAAGGCGCTACTATATAAACATAAATTTGTATTGTAATATAAGAGTGTGTGGGAAGGTAGCTAGAAATTGAGATTAGAACACATAGTTTAAGTGGAGAAATTGGCACCAGAGGCTCGAATGACACCTGCCTTTCTGTGCTGTAATTTCTATGATTCACTGGTGCTCCTATTATCTTAAAGAAGGAAACAGTATCTTTGACTATCACACAATGACTAACTGGAGGGTTGCATAAGGATCTCGACTGTTCTTTTCAAAATTCCAAAACATTCCTTCAAAGTTCAGACTGAATTCAACAATTTACCAAATCCTGCACATGCTAAAATGCTAAGGCAATATAGTACATCTAGACCTGGGAGAAATTTCTTGCCTTCTTCCCTTCCCTCCCCCCCAGGAATTTGTGCTGGAGGATCATGGTAGAAAAATTGCCTATCTTTGCCGTTTAGTGCTTGTTGAAGTTGTTTGCTTCATGGAAAAATTATAGTTGAGCTGCTGAAACAATTTTCACTTTGAAGTGAAAAACAAGGAATAGAATAGAATGAATTGCCCTGTATAAAAACATTGGAAATGATTTGAAATGATGCTAATAAAACGAAAAAGGAACGCTAAATAATTGCTTTGAATTTACCTATTCAGTTCTTCTCACTGTTGACGTGCATTAAAATGATGGGAGCAGTGAGGCATGACACTCAGGAAGCATTAAATATACATTTCAAGTAACAGTGCTGCTGTTTATATTACTAAAAAAAACATGTAAAACAATGTAATGTAAAATATCCAATAACAAAGGTGATGGAAAACATGCTATTTCAATCTTCTGCAACTATTATTTAATGACTTTGTAATGTTGAGCAGGTTTCTTTAAGTGTAAATATTTTTTTCCTTGTATCCATAAACGGGTCTTTGAGGCCAAACCTGCATGTGCCAACCCAGTACTGTCTGATCTCTGCTGTGCTCAGTCAGCAGTAAACGTGTTACAATGGCTCAGCCCACTGGCAGTCTAGCTTTTGACCTTCCATTCCCTCTAGGAGTTTATGAACGACAGCCATAAAGGCTGAACAGGCTATAAAATTATCAACTGGTTTTAATTAGTTGACAGCATTGACATGGTACAGCGAAAAAAGACCTTGGGAAGTTAAGTGTAGAGAGGTGAAATGTGCACTGGGAAATTATTGATAAAGACATATTTATGAAAGTCGCTATTCGGGAAACGGCTTCTCCTCATAATGGCAGAAGGATCAGATCCTCACTTTCTGTCTGTGGATATGTTAGGGGACACATCAACTCAAACACGGGATCTGAAGAGCAATTTCTGACTTTCCTTTAACAAGTTCAGAACTATTTGACAGGAAATGGAAATATCTCTATTTCTGTTTTACCCTATGAGGTGCATGACCTGTCGAATGAGCTTGAATGTACCCAAATATCTAGTGCCACTGGAAATGTTGGCCTTCCCTGGGACGCCACTTTATTTTGGCCAACACTGAAAGCAGGGCAATCGTTGGGAGGCAGATAATGGTTAGAAGGACATTGTTTCCCTTTAACAGCCCTTTACCACCACCTACTGCAGTGAGCAGTGCAAGTTTTCTGTATGAGCAGCGGTCAGTGCACTTCTTCAACAGTGACTGTCAGGCTGGGCAGCCTTTGCAGCAAATATCAGGAGCTGTTCCTTCTCCCAGACCAGTAGAAGCTAAGATGGTGTTCTAAAGTTTGGAATAATGAGTTGTACGTCAGTTGTTGTTTTCGTCCGATGACCCTCTCCCACCACACCCCCTCCCCCTGCTGATTTTTCTTTCCAATGTGGACGCTTTCATACTACATTCCACACAGATTACTTCACTGCAATGGACAAATACCCCTCCACCTGTAATTTTGCTTGCCCAAAGTTCTGGATATTTACACCTGTGGAAACTGCCATATACTAATAATGGGAGCATTAATCATTTTCCTCGTGCAACCTTTCTCTATGGTCACATGATAATAATAATAATAATCCTTGCATTTGATATGGTGTTGTTGAGACATCTCAAAGCGTTTTACAGAATATACTGTAAAGTGAATTGACTGTATATTTTGTGGGTGAAAACGCGGCAGCCAATTGAGCACAGCAGTGTCCCACAAACAGTCGTGGATTGAGTGACTAAATTATTATTATTTTTTGTGGGGGTATGTTGTTTTGTCGAAATATCTTAAACCACTGAAGGCGAAATAATTTTTCATGGTTATAAAATGTGAGCAAGGCGATTTGCACTGTACTAGAAAGTGCCTTTTGTTATTTCCTAGTTAGGTATTATTATCTTTCATTATTCATATATATATTTCATGTGCTCTGTACTAATTAAATGTCTTGTAACTAAAACACTAAAACTTAGATTATAGTTTACTTGTCATTTCTGAAAATGGTGATTGTGTTGTGTGGTGGGAGCAGGTGTCATGCACCTATCTGTGCAATAAAACGTATGTCAGGCAGCCTTATTCTACTCCCCAATGATCTAGTCTGTGGACTTGTCACACACTAGGCTTTGTTTAGTTGTGTGGTTGTGACTCTTCCCATTTGATGGATAATGCTATAAGCAGTGAATATTTCGATGCTACTGACCTAGCACAAATAAACATGTCTAATTCCCATTATTTCTCAATGTTTGGCTGCTGGAATTTCTCTCTCTTCTGTCTCTATGACATTTTGTTTAATGTCTTTGTTTCTTAGCAACTCAACGAAGATTTGAAACATTTAGCTTTGGAAGTAAAGACAGCTGAATCTGAAGTATCAGGTACAATTGGTCCTCCTGGGCCTCCAGGCCCCCAGGTAAGATTAGTTGATAGTTTCAGTTCAGTACAAATAATCTGAAGCCTGACTCTCCTTCAAACCAAGAATTTGCATTATGCATATCCAAAAAATGCAAATTCCAGGTTTTTCAATGTTTTTATATGTATCCCTAGATTTGGTACAAAATAAGGTCACCATATACTATAATGCTGTACAAAAACACATATCAATGTAACATTAAGAACTTCACTGCTACCTGCCAACATCTCCCATCCACCGTGCTTGGGAACACTCAATTTTAACCCATTGATATAAAATTTGCAGTGTTCCTTAGAGTATTCCTTGCCTTAAATAGCAAAAAGACCATATTAAGAAATACCATAATTAAACCCAATAGACACTGTTTGAATCTTCTCTTAAATGACACAAATTGTTCATGCTCCCCAGGTGTGGGGTGCTTTTGCAGGTTAACCAGCTAAAGATTGCAACTGTGAACACAATGGTGTTTGTACAAATTGAATCTATCAATAACACCTCTTATAATACCCACTGAGCTTCTTTAGTTAGCTCTACTTCCCGTCCTAGGAAGTGGATCTTTGTGATGCTAGAGCAGGGTATAATTGAGGAAGGAAGGGGGTCAGCTGGCAGTCAGAGGCTATAAAGAGAAGCAAAGCAATCGACTATTGCTACTGAACAACATTCACTAAACACAGAGAACATGAGATAACACATCAGAGTTTTACAAATTACGTAACTGAATAGCTGGAAATGTATGGAATCATTTTTTTCTTCATGCTCAATATTTCACAGAATATTAAATATTGGCAGAACCCGTGTATTCCAACTCTTGGAAAATACCACTTGCACAATTGTACAATTTCATAAGAACATAAGAACATAAGAATTAGGAGCAGGAGTAGGCCATTCGGCCCTTCGTGCCTGCTCCGCCATTCAATAAGATCATGGCTGATCTTCTGACCTAACTCTGATTACCTGCCCTATCCCCATATCCCCTAATCCCTCTATTTTTCAAGAATCTATCAGTCTCAGCCTTGAAAATGTTCAAGGACTGAGCATCTACAGCCTTCTGGGTAGTGAATTCCATAAGTTCACTACCCTCTGAGTGAAGAAATGTTTCCTCAACTCTGTTCTAAGAGGCTGACCCTTAATTTTAAGACTGTGACCCCTGGTTATAGATTCTCCTACCAGGGGAAACAGACCCTCAGTGTCTACTTTATCCAGCCCTTTAAGAATCTTATAAGTTTCAATAAGATCCCCCCTAATTCTTCTGTACTCTGGAGAATACAGCCCTAGTTTATTCAGCCTATCCTCATAGGTCAGTCCCTCATCCCAGGAACTAACCGAGTGAATCTACGCTGCACCCCCTCTAGGGCAAGTATGTCCTTTTTTTAAATAAGAAGACCAAAACTGCACACAATACTCTAGGTGCGGTCTCACCAAAGCCCTCTACAGTTGCAGCAAGACTTCCCTACTCTTATATTCTAAACCTTTCGAAATGAACGCTAACATGCCGTTCGCCTTCTTAGTTGCTTGCTGCACCTGCAAACTAACTTTTTGGGACTGGTACACAAGGACACCCAAATCCCTTTGAATACTAACACTATCTAACTTCTCCCCTTCCAGAAAATAATCTGTTCTTTTATTCTTGCTACCTAGGTGAATAATTTCACACTTGCTAACATTGAATTCCATCTGCCACCTACTTGCCCACTCCCCTAGCCTATCTATATCTTGTTGCAATCTTTTTGCATCATCCTGAGAGCTCACTCTGCTACCTAGTTTAGTATTATCTGCAAATTTAGACACATTACATTCAATGTCCTCATCCAGATCATTGATGTATATGGTAAATAGCTGAGGCCCAAGCACTGATCCTTGTGGCACTCCACTAGTCACATCCTGCCAATTCGAGAATGATCCGTTTATCACTACTCTCTGCTTTCTACCCGATAGCCACTCTTCTATCCATGTTAATATTTTCCCATTAATCCCGTGGGCCTTGATCTTGAGTAACAGCCTTTTGTGTGGCACCTTGTCAAATGCCTTCCTAAAATCCAAATATACCACATCTACTGGTTCCCCCTTATCCAACCTGCTGGATACATCCTCAAAAAATTCTAAAAGGTTAGTCAAGCATGACTTCCCTTTTGTAAAGCCATGTTGACTCTGCCTAATCTTTTTATGGTCTTCCAGGTATCCCATAACTATGTCTTTTATTAAGGACTCAAGAATTTTCCCTACAACTGACGTCAAACTAACTGGTCTATAGTTTTCCCTATTTTCTCTCCCATCCTTCTTAAATAGTTACGTTTGCAATCTTCCAATCAATGGGAACTTTTCCAGTATCCACGGACTTTTGGAAGATTATAGACATGCCATCCACTATCTCAGTAGCCACCTCCTTTAAAACTCTCGAATGCAGGCCATCCGGTCCAGGGGATTTATCGGTTTTAAGACCCGACAATTTACCTAGAACCATCTCTTTACTAATGTTAATCTCCCTAAGTTGCTCGCTAACATTGTCTTCTTGGTCCTCTATTTTTGGTACCACTATTTGGGGGTCTATAAACTACTCCCACTATAGTTTTCTTCCCCTTGAAGTTATGTATCTCTACCCATACTGACTCTACATCTTGCTTTTCAGATTTAAAATCTTTCCTCTCTACTGTTTTTATCCCATCCTTTATTAGCAGGGCCACTCCCCCTCCTCGTTTACCACATCGCCTATCTTTCCTATATACCACGTAGCCGGGAATATTCAGTTCCCATCCCTGATCACCCTGTAACCATGTCTCGGTGATGGCTACTAGATCATACCGGTTTGTCTCTATTTGTGCAACGAATTCATCTATCTTGTTACGAATGCTTTGTGCATTCAGATATAGCACCTTTAATTTTGACTTCTGGCTATTAACCCTATTCACCAGTACTCTATCATTGTACTTCCTTTCCCTGCTTGACACACTTTGCTCTTCTCCCTTGTTAATCTGCTCTCTTGCTTTTATTGATCTCAAGTTTAACTGTGGTGGACTATACTTTACTATGTTTTTACCTCCCCCACCCTTAGTAGTTTAAAGCCCTTTCTACCTCCCTATTTATTCGCGTAGCCAGGACATTTGTCCCAGCCCTAGTTAGGTGGAGCCCATTCCTTTGGAAAACCTCCCATCTTCCCGAATACTCGTACCAGTGGCCCATGAATTGGAATTTCTGTTCTCCGCACCACTCTTTTAGGCAGGCATTCAGATCTATGATGCTCTTTTGCCTGTACCAATTAGCTCCTGGCTCAGGTAACAGTCCCGATATCATCACTTTGGAAGTTCTATTCCTTAGTTTACTTCCCATTTCCCGGAACTCGCTCCTTAACTCGTCCCTACTGGGGTCATTGGTCCCTATATGTACTATTATGATTGGATCCTCTCCCTCATGCCTCAAATTTATCTCCAGCCCGGTGGTGACATCCTTCACCCTGGCCCCAGGAAGACAACAGAGTCTTCTTGTTTCCCTGCTACGGCTACAGAAAATGGTATCAGTCCTCCCGACTGTCTCATCCCCAATAAGAATTACATTTTTAACCTCCTGCACAAGGGTGTTGGGGTCAGTTTGCCCGTCTTCCTCGCAGATTTCCTTGTCCACACAGGTTGCCAATATTTCAGACCTGTCAGACAAGGCTAAAGTCTGGGATTCTTCAGCCCCTCTCTTTCGGGAACGCTTGCCTGCCTGCCTGACTGTCACCCAGTCATGTCCGTCGCTGCTACATTCTTCTTCCTTGGGACTCAGGGGAGTGTCCGGCTCCAGGATAAAGCTGTCCAGGAAGTTTTCTCCATCCCTAATGCTGCACAGCATCTCCACCTGAGACTCCAGCTCAGCTACTCTCAGCTGGAGCTCTCTGATTTCCAGACACTTGCAGCAGACGAAGTCGCCCGGACTTAAGGCGCCCTCCATTGACTCCCGTATGTGACAGACCTCGCAGTTTACCTGCCACACCATCTTCACAAACTTTATATAGATACAAAGATATATAGCCTGCCCCCACTTTCCCCTCTGCACCTAATTCCCACTCTCACCAAATTCCCTCACACTCTGGCCTCGCCTCACTCCGGTCGTAGCTCACTCTGGGCTCTCGGTTCAGAAGTAAAACTACATTGCAAATACAAATTCATCCCATCTTTGAGAAGCAGGACCCAACTATTGTTCTTTGAAGTTCAGGCCCTTGATTCCTGAATTCCCCATATGGATTTGTTTGACTCATAAAAGATCATTCAGGAAGATTAGTTCCCAGCTGTCATACAGCTCCATGGCTAATAGATCCACATCACACATGAGATGGTGAGATAAATCTCTACTGGAGTAGAGAGAATTTAGTGTAAGTGAAATCAGATCTATCAGTCTTGCATAGATGTATCTAATGAAGCATTATGAATGACATACATATTTTGTTTTACAAATCATTTTTTTATACATCTATTGGAATTGCTTGGGTCTTTTGGAGTCTTTTGTAATTTATGCTGCTATACATATGATTAATGCATTCTCTCCATTGTAAACAGGGTTACTAGTAAATCATTTTCAGATTGTAATGTCTGTCACACAATTTAAAAATTGCAATGCATAGTATATCTTGAAGATGTAAATGTGGATATCATGTTAACAGAATGCAGTGTGAAAAGGCAAAGAGTAGCTAGAGACGGAAACAGAAAGGAGCAGATACAAAGCGGTGCAGACTGAGATAGAGAAAGGAGGAAAAGAAGTGCATCTAATAATAATAATAAATTGGTCACATGAATCCACAACTGTTTGTGGGACACTGCTATGCGCAATTGGCTGCCGCATTTCGCTCACAAAATATACAGTCAATTCACTTTACAATATATTTTGTGAAGCGCTTTGAGACGTCTTGAAGATGTGATAAAGTGCTATTCCAAATGCAAGGATTATTATTATTATCACATAATGGGTGAAGGGGAAAACAGACAGATGGACAGATAAAGACAAAGAGAGTGATTCTGCAATAAAATTTGGCACGTTTACCAGTTAAAGTAGAGACAGTACATTTTGGAGGTGTAAAACCTCAAGGAAGATTGTCCTTTTGTAAACTCACTAGCATAAGACTACAAATTCACTGACCAGCAGAGATCTGTCTTGAGACTGTCAGAGAGCACAAGAAGCAAAATAAAACAAGGCAGAGTCGTAGAGAATGGGGTTAAGGAAAGGAGCATAAAGGGTAATAAATAATTACATTGTCTACATAAAGCACAGTTCCTGCTCTGTAAGTTCCTCCTCAGGTCATTATTCCATTACGACAGTAACATACAAGCTGGCTTCAACAGGTGTGAGGAACAGCTATAAAACTGTGACCCCGATGCATGTGAAGTTTTACATCTTGTTCATTCCTGGAATGAATTGGGTATTCAGCTGCTCCCTGCTTGTGCAGCCCCCCTCCATTACAATTAATGCAGCACTTAGAACCATAGAAATGTACAAACCATTAGGAGACGATTCGATTCATTATTTCACAGCGATGTTTTGCTCCTCCAAGTAGCCATTCTTCCTAATCTCAATTCCCTGCTCTTTCCCCATAACAATTACAACTTCCCCATAACTTCCCTCTGCATGTGCCTGTTCAGTTCTTTTCAAATGCTGCCATGAGCACTCTATCATTTTGTTGTTCTTAATAATACTAATCCCCCTGCATCAATCTTCTTCCATACCATTCAGGCCTTGGGACGTCCTCCCAATGTGAAAGGTGCTATACAAATTTCATTTTATATTGTATTGTATTGTAAAAGTCGATGATATGTTCACTAGAATCCATTCAAGGCTGCTCTGAAACCAGCCTCAAGCAGGTCAATGTAAGAAGCTTGGGATGATGTCACTCAGTTGACATTTCAATGACATGATAAGGCACTATATCAAATTCGAGGGTTATTATTATTATTATTATTACCAGGTGTGAAAGCACTTCTGTGCCTGCCCGTGAGACCAAGTCAAGATTGGTGACTCATTTGATGAAGGATGCATTGTGCTATGAAATAGTGGGAATGCCATTTACAGCAGTGGGTCACCCATTCTCAGCCATATTACTGTGAGCCAGAGCTGGGAGGAAAGAAGATCACACTTGGGCACGTTATGGGCAACTGCTTCATAGTAACCTTGACGGAGCTCTAGCAGTGGGTAGCAGCCAACCTTTGTCATGGACGGTGCACCGTATGAGGAGGCTGAGTGAAAGACAGGAATTAACTGGTAAAATGGGACAGCATTGCCTCTGCCTCCTTCTCTAAAATACATAAGAGACAACAGGGTCAAATTTCTGATAATCACCAGTGGAATTGTCATTTTCAGCAGTAAATATTAAAAACATTCAATTTGTGAAATTCCTAAAACATCTAATTCTGAAAGTTGGCAAAGTGTGAGGGAAAGGCTGGTGAGCAAAATGTTCATCATATCCCTCTTCCACTTTGCCACCTTTCAGAAATCACATTGAACTGTTTTGTGCCACTTAAATTACTTTTCCCTTAATGGGTGTTACAATTAGAGCTTCAAATCCCACATGTGAATACCACAAAGTAATATGCAGTGTGTAATAAGCAGTTTACCAGCAGAGAATCAACTGCAAGGATGTGGGTTGCAAATGCAATATTCATTTGTCAAAATATATTGGCATTTGTCAGTCCTCTGCTTTGGTTCATGTACATTTGTGGTGAAAGAATAGCTCCAAACACAACAACTCAGCTGTTCAGCTATTGGAACAACTTGTCTTATTTATGTATTTACTTAAATATTTGAAAATAAAAGGGAGTTTTTCCCTGTCAACAATCCCTCTACAATCTCCTGGGCAATAAGCCCCCAGATAAAATTGGTCATTCACTTTATGGCTGTGCACAAAATTAGCTATTATATTCGCTGACAAAACACAGTCACTACACTTTACAGTATATCATGTGAAACGCTTTGGGGCATCCTCCCGATGGAAAGGCACTTAAATAGGAATAAGGAATATCATTAAATATAACAGTGATTGCATTTGATCATCTCCTGTTGCTCATTGAATGTTTGTGCAACTGATGTAATGCAGTTTTATTTGTGTGTGACCACAGGGTCCACAAGGAATTCAAGGGATTATGGGACCAAAAGGAGAGAAAGTAAGTTTGTTTGTTGTGGTATTTCAATCTGACATTGCTAAGGCTCAGTAATATCAGTGTTGGTGTACTCTCTGTTCTGTTATATTCTCTTGCTCCCTCACCCTTTCAAGGTCTGTCTCAAGACATTCATCTTTACATGTGCCTTTGGTTATCTCTTTCCTTCCCACCCCCATCAGCTCCCACCCGTAGCTCAGGTTCCCAGACAGGACTATCAAGTGCCTTGAGGGTGACCTCTCAACATGAAACATTCTATATAAATATAACTGTGTATTGTATGAAGCTCAAATCATTCCAATTATTGCTTTGAGAATAATAGCATGTGCCAATGAAATCTCTGTCTGTCTCTTGCAGGGGGATATTGGAAGACCAGGAAGGAAAGTAAGTAAGATCAAGCTTGATCATATGTGTTTTTTCCTTGGATATTTGAAAGTCCTTTGGTCGTGTTGCTTAAAAATGAGCTGACATTGTATTGCAGCGGTGAGGTCACAACTTAAGGCTTGCCAGTTTGAAACCTATTGCTCCATACAGAATGCATTGCAAGACATTCCAAGACATTACTTCAGTTTGGTATCCCGTTTTTTAAAAAATGAACCATGTGTGGACATAAAATATATTGGGTTGAATGAACATCCAAATGTGTTGTGTTAAAGCTCAGACAATTGTAACCCAGAACTGTAAATAAAAGTGACAAAAAACGTTGTGCTTATGACCTGAAATATTTTCGAATTGAACACCCGCATTGGCTGGGTCCATGAGAAACTTGTGACAGTGGTTGATTCACAGAGTTATGGAGGCCTTCTCTTTATTTTATTCCTATCAAACAATGGATGTCTAACTAACTCTCTAATATTACTTTGCAGGGTAGAGCAGGTATTGTCGGCCCCCGTGGAATGCCAGGGGTCTCTGGTTCACTGGGACGAATGGGGCCAAAGGTAAGCACTGTTGATTTTCTGGGTTTATTTAGACCAGTGGTGGCCAACCTTTTTGGTTGGCCAACAACATTAATGTTCTTGATTGAATATTTCTTGATTTATGCCATTAAGTGTTCTCGCATTTTATTACATGCACCTGATTTATGTTTCTAATTTTAGGGTGAAATGGGCGATGCAGGATTAATGGGATTTCCTGGTGCAAGAGGACCAATGGGCCCTAAGGTTTGTAACTTTGTGTTGTGTCTTGTAACCAGTGGCACTTGGTACAATATGCACTTTATAAAGAATTTGGGTTTTTGCTCCTCCACTTCTGAAGAAACAGATTCAGACTGGGGTGCAGTTTCTTGGGCATTGGCATCCTTCTTTCTCTCATCCAGATGATCAGGCTTAGCCTAGACAGTAAGTAGGAACCTGGTTGTTAGTCGTTTGGCTGATCACTTTTCTGGGGGAAATAATCGCATTAAAAATAATAATTTGGTCACTCAATCCACAATTGTTTGTGGTACACTGTTGTGCGCAATTGACCGTGCTTTGCACACAAAATATACAGTCATTTCACTTTACAGTATATTCTGTGAAGCGCTTTGAGACGTCTCGAAGATGTGATAAGGCTCTATATCAAATGCAAGGATTATCATTTATTATTATAATCATTACCAGAAAGATTCTCACTCCCAGACACTCAGACCTCACTGCAAATACTGTCAGGCGCCTATATAACTCACACAGCAGTGTAAGTTACTTTTTAAATTGTGACTGGCATGCCATGTAGTAGGAGACAGCAAAACTAATGCACAGCAGCAATCAGACAGGTATAGTAGCAGCCCTCGCTAAATTTACTTGTAATGGGTTTGAATGGCATCCACATGGTGTAGATATCTATCTATAGTGCAGTCAGTGGAAAAAGACTGCCTTGTTCCTACTGTTAAAATGGAAATCAAACTGTTTGGTAACATATACAGGAAAACAGATGCTTGCTGATTAAAATATACAGATCACGACAGCACTGTACAAGAATTCTGCGTGTGGCTGTTCTCACCTTTACTGGAGTCAAACAATGATATGTTATTAGTCAAGCAATATCTTTATTAGTGTTATGGTTAACAGTACAGGAAACGTTTAGACATTGTTTTGGGTCAAATTATCTCTGGCCTAAAAGTATGAAATATTATTTAAAATAAGTAATTTAATCGAGGGGTTCGGATGATGTTATAAATTGCGAGAGAGAAACTTTATGGATGTTATCTGAACCCTGAGATTGGGTTACAGTCTTGAAATGACTCCCTGGTATCTTACTATTTATAACGCTAAGTTTAAATTTAACATCAGGAGAGAGTAGTATTTTGTTTTTGTGCCTTTTTTGTGCCGGAGGCTGGCTCTCAGTGTTCTCTGTGTCCTTGAAGCATGATGAGAGTGATTCAGGCAGGATTGCTTGATGTGGCTGGAACTTCACCTCTCCTTCTGTCCCATTTCTGAAGATTTATCACAGAACAATCTGCCTTCGATTGCCAGGAACATTGATGCTCAGCGTGTTTCACTCATTGCATTTCAAATAAATAATAATCCTTTGCTTTTGACACAGCGCCTTTTATGTCAGGAGGACACAGAATTAATTATAAAGCGGAGTGACTATTTTTGTCGGTGAATGCGGCAGGCAGGCAATTTGCACACATTGAACCAAACTAAACCCCCTTTATTAGTCATTTACAAAGCAAATCTCTACGATTTTCTCTCTCACAAAGACCTGCAAAAAATTATTTGAGTCAAAAAAATGCACATGAGACTTTGATTTTTTTGAGTACATTTTTTGTCAACCGGATGACGCTGACACTTGTGGAAACCCATCACCATGCTTAAGAATATCCAAACAAACTGGTGAATTCCATGCTTCCCTAACACACATTATCCTGTTTGTATTTTATTAATGTGTGTTGAAGCATAATATTCTGATATATCAATCCTCTCTGACATATCATGTCCTATTTGTTCTCTCTTGCCTCTGCTGTCCACCATGCTCCTCCTTTAGTCTTCTCACTTTGACTGCTGGCATCTTCATAGTTTCCTTCAAATATGCAAATCAATATATCCAAAATACTATGAATCTATACATTTCACTGCAAGCTGCTTATAATAAAATAAGCGCGCTTATTCTGTCCGTTTCTCAGAGTTTAGATCATCAGGGTTCCAATGAGAGTGGCCCTGAGAGGAATCTTTAGGATGTGAAGGAATTAAGTGTTATTTAGTCTCAGTGCTTTACTTATTGTACTTTGTGCCAAATGGCATTCAATTTAGATGGAAAATACACTTTTGAATGTTGAATTTGTTCAGAAATTACCAGGGCTTTTAAGAAGGTGTGAACGTTTCATGCTCCGAGGATTAAAGGCCTCCTCTGTCTATTCAGTCCCAGAACTTATTGTGGGCAAATGGTGCCTTGGAAATGGACAGTTTTGGCAATGTGGGCTAGGACCACAAAATTATACAGGCTCCTGTATGGATTAGAGGTGAAGAAGTGAATACCTGTGACTTGTGCAAGATATTTTACTTTATTCCCATTTTTCTCTTCATTCTAGGGGATAATTGGACCTAAAGGTGATAAGGTCAGTAGTTACTTAAATATTGTGAATTCTGTCTTGAAATACTTATTCTTCTCAATCATTTATTCGAAAGCTGGGGTGATATTTGAATGTGTTTGTGTTTCCTGCAGGGGGTAAGAGGTGGAAGGGGTGAAGAAGGAAGCAAAGGAGAAACGGTAAGTATCATGATGTGAACTGAAACATTTTATAGTTGAGGATCAAAGTTACTTTCAGACAAGGTCCAGTCACTTCATTCTCTAATCTTACGAAGGCCTGAGGTTCACATGATTCCTACTCAATCCCACTTTTTATTGTGATTAATAGAAGCCACAACTTGGTTGTCACTACATTTTTCCAGATAAAACTGATTCTGGGTCCACACCCTGCCTCAAATACTAAGCAGATAGAAATCAGGAACTCTGGCTGACCCACAGTAATTTATATGAATGTATTTAAAGATCATTCAACAGAAAGGGAGAAGGGGGCCATTCCTTTATTCACTTAAATAAAATTGCACCTTGATGAAAGCCAAGTCAATTTTCAACTGTTCTGATCTGCTGGCTTGGAGCCTTTTACACTTTAATTAAGTGCTCTGGGACACCACTCTGTGTAGGGTTGCTATATAAATGCAAGTCGTTGTTGTTAATTCATTCCTTCTCACTCATGGAATAAACTGCACATTGAACTAACTGTCTTAGATTATCAGCCTGTCCAGTCTGTGTCCATTTAAAAATAAGACTATATCCGGCATACAGTTCCGTTAACAAAAATGATGTGGCCATAAATAGAATTGTAATATTCAGCTCTCAATTTCCCCGAGACACTAGCTGCGTGAAGAATGCCATAGTGTAAAATGTAATAATAAGAATGGAAATGCAGCTGGAAATGTGGCTAACAATCAAAATCTTGTTTCCAAATTCAGTAAAGTTACCTGGAATCAGAAAGACTAAATCCTCTATAATGCATCATTTACTGGTCAGGCTCAGGTTCATAGGACTCGTCACCATACTGGGAAATCCACCTTTAAAGTGTACAGTATCTTCTGCCATTATTGTGTAGATATACATATATGTATATTATATGTATATAATATAAATTGCATTTTCTGTATTTGAGCTGAAAAACAGAAATGCAATTGTGGAAAACAGTGCTGACACAAGTAATAGCAGAATATCTTTCTTTCCAGGGTGTTATGGGCCTTCCTGGAATGCTCGGACAGAAAGTAAGTATATCATAACTACCGCAATCTCATGTAGAAATCCTCAGTTAGTGGCTGGTTAGCAATAAGCTGGAGTTGCCATGTGCTGTGTATAAAATAACTTAAATCGGAGAGAAAGAAAAGTGAAATAAAATGGAAAAAACAGGGAGGAACGACAGTCAGAAATAGAAATGAGCTGAAGTGGAAAGAAAATGCAATGTATTCTTTCCTCTGGCAATTATGCACTCCAGTGCTCAGGAAGTGAAACTTTAAGAATTAGATAACAAATTCGTCAGCTACCTTCTGCATTCATTGCCTCCAAGTATCCACTTTAAATCTATTCAAAGCTGTTGTAGGGGCAGGAAGGCATTGAGTTGACCGGGTTGGGTGGGTGTATCAATGAGGGCTTGTCTCCACAGCCCAGTTTCAATAACTTACAATAAATTAAATTTTTTTTAAAGGGAGAGATGGGTCCAAAGGGAGAACCTGGAATCCCTGGACACAGAGGACCTGTTGGTAGACCTGGAAAAAGAGGGAAATCTGTAAGAGCTGCTCTTTTGTTTTTACATATATCCAATTTACCCAATTTGTTTTTCCTTGTGTGGTCTTGTATGGCAGTGTAGGACACATTGTCACATGATGCTAGGGTGGGCACAAATCACGTTACATGGGGAATGCAAATGTTTCCTCTCATTCATTTTTGTTTTCTCAATTTTATTCTAAAATTATATGTGTGAAAGTATAATTATCCTTCTCATAGACAAGAAAATGATTGCATGACAAGCTTTCTTGTATGGGGGTAACCTGATAAGGTACAAAAGATTAGAGATATTGCCTTTGCAAGTCAGTATCAAGTGATATTCATGCACATCATGAATACGTGTATTGGTAGACGATCTGTTCTCATTTACCTCCTTTCTGACTGGAACATGAATTCAGCACTTAACATTGATTTCCTGTCTCAAAATGTAATGTTGAACTAGATTTCTATGCTTGTAAATTGGTTAAACCATTATTTCATAATCTTATGTTTCTCCCCTGCCAAGTATAGGGAATAATGTGTGTTCTGTCTCTACTGACTCAATTCACTTGAATTAGTCTTGGTCAAGCAAAATAATGGCAAAGAAGCATTCAGGAGCTCAGACATATGACTCATAAGATACCTTGTGCAAACATGTATGTATTATGTAGAAGCATGTTATAAAATGTGGGAAGCATGTTAGATAATACATACATATTATGTACATTACAGTACATGTATGTACAGTAGAAATTATCTTTAACTGCTTAATTATATATTTGACAACCAATACTTTTCATTGACTGTTAATTCCACAATTAAAGGCATCTGTAATTCTGCTGGTACATACACATTTACCTGTAACTTACACAATGTGCATTTTAGATCCTGATTCAGAGCCATGGAAAAGCAAGTATCCATTCTGTGACAATGGATTCAGGTTTAGAGGCTTCTGAGTGAGTTGACCACATAGCAGCTTTGGTTTGCCAGGGAGCAGACAGCAGCCTTCCTCTCACCAACTAGATAGTCAAGGATGCAGACACAAGTTGTCATTATAGTGCTGCAGGATTTACTGATTATATTGTGTATTTTTGGTCAAGCTGGTTGCTCTTTTTTCAGCAAAAACGGACTACTGTCTCAAGATCTTGACATACTGAAAATGCCACAGAGGTTTTGATTTGATTGTAACATTTTATTGCCAAGTACATCACCTTGGAACCAGCTCAGCTCCAAGGAGACCCCGCTTATCTCCTCACCTCCAAGGAGAATAGTCGAATGGTCTTAAATAATATGTTTTTTTTTGTACTGTATGTTGTGGTACATATAACATTGGAGGCAAGGTGAAATGAGCAGAAGCATATTAATTTTAACTGTCAGATGGGGGAAGAGTGCAAGTCATAAACTATTATCTCATGGTTGAATAGGCAATTAAATCCTAACAACGGTGCTGTGATTAAATAACTGAGAAAATAGACAAAGGCGATGCTGTGGACGTGGTATATATAGATTTCAGAAGGCTTTCAATAAGATGCTGCATAAGAGGTTTGTTAAAAAAAAATGAGGGTGCTTGGTATTAATGGAAAAGCAGCAGCATGGATAGAAAGCTGGTTAAAGGATAGGAAACAGAGGATGGGAGTACAGGGTCGTTATTCTGAATGGAGTGAAGTAACTCAGAAGACTTGTCAATGTCACTGAGGATCCTGTTTGCCCAGTTTATTGCTGCCTCACATTGTTTAGACATGGTGTTTGATGGGTTACCCAATGGCCATTCAGGGAAGTACCAGAGGGTGAGGCTGTGGAAACAGACTCCAGTGTGAGCTAGATCTTCCAGGAGATGAATACAATGATTTTAATACTTTTACTTTGTTTTTGTTCTGTTCTGCCCAATCGACAGTTTAAAACTGTTCCATTTCCCTGTGACAATAAAATAAATAGCATCTCTGTGATTAATAGCCCCTCAGCTCTCAATGAGGAACAGTTTGTGAAATCACAATGAACAACACGGAAACACTGATGGTTTGTCAAATTTCAACAAAGAATGAGAACACAGTGAATGGCTCCTCAAAAGTCATTGAAGAGAAAGGCCTCAAATACTTGTCTTGGAGTAAAGACATGGCAACTCCCACAGTAAATGGCAATTGGCTTTCAGATATAACACCCTACTGTAGTATAAATCACACTTCAGTTTTATAAGGGCACATTACATTACACATATTATTTACTGAAATTTGAGAAACAAGCTATTTCAATGGGATTTCAGTCAGTGTTCTTCATTGTGATTTGACAGACTTCTTTATTGATACTCATTCTTTATTGAGATCTGAGGGGCTTTTAATCTAGGGGATGCTAATTCTTTAGTGACTAATACAGAGAAATAGAATATTTTTGAACTGGAGCAGAACAGAACAGAAAACAATATAACAGTCTTATCATTGTTGCATGCAACTCCTGAAGGATCTAGCTCACACAGAGTATGATCCCACAGGCACCAGACACACCCTCTGGTTCTTTGTCCCAGTTGCAGTAAATACTCAAGGTCTACTCACAAGAATATGAAAGTATAAATCACAGAAAGCAAAAGAGCACTCACTTTGCATGCAAGAGGACCTGGGTTAGATTCCCGGACAGGGAGAAACCTCAAGCAAGTTTCCTTACTCTACAGGCCTCTGTTTACCTATCAGTAAATAGCTGAGGGGAGCTGGGAGGGCGAAAAAAGACTGAAAGTGTGGTCAAAGACATTCGTTTGATGGACCTTGAACGAGGTAAGGAGGAAATTGGAAGGATTCCAGAGAGCGGGAGCAGAAAGGCTGAAAGCCCACCTGCCAATGGTGAAGCAACAACAACAAGAATTGCATTTGTATAGCGCCTTTCACGTCTGGAGGACATCCCAGGTACAACAACAACAACTTGCATTTATATAGCATCCCTCACGCAGCATAGCGTCTCAGAGTCTTTGAACATGAAGGTAGTGGAGAATATGAAGCAGGCTGTGCTTGCTGAGCAAATGGAACGGCCAGTTCAGTAGGGTTTGAGGAAGTCGCAAAGGTAGGGTGATATGGTGCATGGAGATGTATCAGCAATGTAGTGACAAATGTGTACGCTTTTTCTTGAAGAAGCTACTTTTTATAGTCATTACTATAACAGCTCCATGTGTGAAGCCCAGTTTAACATTACTGGTCTTGTTTTCTTCTTCCTCAAGCAATGTGACCAAGGATCCTATTTCCTTGTTTATTGCTGCCTCACACTTACTGATATGGTGACAAGTTGCTGAGTGGTCAGTTGGGTAAGGTTCTACTGGCTGGCTGTTCCTATGGGTGAGTTAAATCACATAGTCTACATGCATTCAAGAGACAGTTAGATTTTCATATGAGGGAGAGGGGAATAGAAGGGTATGGGAGGAAGTAAGAAATGGGTAGAAACTCATGTGGAGTGCAAATACTGGCATGGACTGGTTGGGCCAACTGACCTGGTTCCATGCTCTACAGTCTTATTGGTCTGTTCTACTCTATCTTCAGTTCAAAAATATAGACATGGCAAGCTCCATTTTCACTTAGTAGCTAGTGAAGCGTAATATCTCAGTGATGAATGAACTTGTATCTCATTGAACAACAGTCTAAAATCGCAGTGAAGAAAAGCCCTTCAAAAAAGCTTGAATCTAAATGATGAATGGAAACCTTATTGATAATTTTTATTGCAAATTTCAGTGAAGGGCATTGCTTCACAGTAAATGCCTTTGAATTATATTGAAGCAACATTGTAATGTTAAAATATTGCCGTCTTGTACCTTCTTTGCCACTCAATAGTACAGTCTATTTATGTTTTTAGTGTACTTCATCATTCTTGGTTTCCTGTAGACAAGCTGTTACACTTACTTTTAGACACGTGTATTTTTTTCCCTTTCCAAGGCAATGCAGTGTATCATTTTACAAGAGGACGATTTCTGCAAGTCTAAATTTATTTTCATAGCGTGTCTTTAGTTTTCCCTCTGTTCACATTATCTAAATTTCAAATTACTCATTTATTTCCTTCATTCTCCTGTCAGCGCCTCCTCATCTCAAGCATTGACTGCATCGACCTGGACCTATCCTCATTCCACCTGACAGAGGCGGTGCCGAACCTCAATGTTTTGTTCAACCCCCAGTTTCCTTCAAACCCTACATCCAGGCTCACTCAGCCTCCCCTCATCTCTACACCACCTGCCTCTGTTACTACCTCTCGCCCTGCCAAGACCCTCATCCATGCTTTGCTCACCTCCAGGTTCAACTATTCCAACATCCTCCTCAGCGGACTCCCAAGCTCATCCCTATGCAAGCTGCAGACCATCCAGAATTCTGCAGCTTGTGTTCTCTCCTGCACCGAGCCCCATGAGTTGATATTCCCATTCCTCGCTCAGCTGTGCTGGCTCCCCGAGAGAATCAATTCAAAATTCTCATGCAATCTTTGCAAGCTACCGCTCTGCAACCTCCAGCAACCTACTGGCAACAACATTTTTATAATAATAATAATCCTCGCTTTTGATATAGCACCTTATCATGTCGTTGAGACATCTCAAAGCATTTCACAGGATATGCTGTAAAATGTATGGATTGTGTATTTTGTGGGTGAAAAGCCAACCATGGAGTGAGTGACCGATTTATTTAGGAGATTGTTGTCCAGGACACCAGGAGAGAGAAACTCCCTTCTCTTTTCACATAGGGCCATGGGATCTTTCAAGTCCACCTGAACAGGCAGATGGGACCTCAATTTAATTTGGTCTCTAAGCAGGACTTCATGTTCAGTTCTCTTACTGAATTCGGAATTTGAATCATGGCTTTAGCCTTGGCACAAGCCAGTGTAGAAGCAAATTTGTATCACCTCTAAACTTCAGTTTCCTGCATTCAGTAATTTGCACATTATTTATAGGAACATAGGAATTAGGAGCAGGAGTAGGCCATTCGGCTCCTCGAGCCTGCCCTGCTATTCAATAAGATCATGGCTGATCTTCTAACCTAACTCCATCTGCCCCCCTTATCCCTATATCCCTTAATCCCTCTATCCTTTAGAAATTTATCAATCTCAGTCTGGAATATGTTCAAGGACTGAGCATCTATAGCCTTTTGGGGTAGAGAATTCCATAAATTTCTTCAACTCTGTTCAAAAGAGCTGTCCCTTATTCTTAAGACTGACCCGTAGTTCTAGATTCTCCAACCGGGGAAATAGTCTTGCACTGTCTACTCTGTCAAGCCCGACAAGAATCTTATATGTTTCTATAAGATCACCCCTCATTCTTCTGTATTCTAGAGAATACAGCCCTAGTTTACTCAACCGATCCTCATAGGTCAACACCCTCATCCCAGGAACTAACAACAACAACAACAACAACAACAACAAGATTCCATTTATAGAGCGCCTTTCACGTCAGGAGGACGTCCCAAGGCGCTGCACAGTTGGGTCATGACCCGAGCAGGGGGGAAATGGTCAGGGTGAGGGGAGGGAAGGGACGGAGCGAGAAGGGGGAAGAGAGTCGAGAGGGGAGCTGAAGGCACGGTCAAAGAGACCGTGTAACCTAGTGAATCTACGCTGCACCCCCTCTGAGGCGAGTATGTCCTTTCTTAAATAAGGAGACCAAAACTGCACACAATATTCTAGGTGCGGTCTCACCAAGGCCCTATACAGTTGCAGCAAGACTTCCCTACTCTTGTATTCTAACCCTTTTTCAATAAACGCCAACATGCCATTAGCCTTCCTAGTTGCTTGTTGTACCTGCATACTAACTTTTTGTGACTGGTGTACAAGGACACCCAAATCTCTCTGAACACTAACACTATCTAATCTCTCCTCTTCTAGAAAATAATCTGCTTTTCTGTTTTTACTACCTAGGTGAATAACTTCACACTTCCCACATTAAATTCCATCTGCCATCTTCTTGCCCACTCCCCTAGCCTATCTATATTCCTTTGCAATCTTTTTTCATCCTCAGAGCTTACTCTCCCACCTAGCTTAGTATCATCTGCGAATTTAGATATTTTAAGTTCTATGTCCTCGTCCAGATCATTGATGTAGATTGTAAATAGTTGAGGCCCAAGCACTGATCCTTGTGGCACTCCACTAGCCACATCTTGCCAATCTGAGAAGGACTCGTTTATCCCTACTCTTTGTTTTTTTCCCATCATATCATGGATGATGCGAGGAATTCTCTATGGGATTATGTATGAAAGAATCCTGCAAGGAAATACCACAAATTAGACCCCTACTATTCTTCCTAACTTAAGAACATAAGAAATGCTAGATGAAAAAAGACCAAGGTCCATCTAGTTCGCCTTTCCCACAATGTTATTTCCTAAAAGAAAACTATTTAATCTGTGTTTGAAAGAATTAACACTTCCTGCATCAACTGCCTTCCTGAATCTCTGATGATGTCAACCTCACTTCAGGGGGTTACACTTGTATTAATTTCTAGGCTACTGTCTTCAGTTCTTTCAGTTCCTGGAATCAGTTCTGATATGTTAAGAAAGTCATGAAACGTAAATCCCTTGATATTATATGGAGCTATTATATCATGTTAAACCTGTCAGAGGCCAGTCTATTTCCTGTCACAGTCTTCTTCATATTTAGTTTGACATCTTAATATAGAACCAATGTTCTGCTTACTCCACTGAAAGCCTTCACTAATTCAGGGGAAAGGAACCTCCCATCTCCACTTTAACTTCCAGCCTGATGATCTTGATCTATGTTCTGATCTCAGCTTGACAGAAGCATGATTTCATTTTGCAATACTTGTTCAAAGAAGCCACTGTATTTCTTTTTCCACAATCCATTCATCCCATAGACAACAACAACACCTTGTGTTTATATCGGACCCTTCCCACAGAGTCGTGTCTCAGAGACGTTAACATGCAGCTTGATCCTGCGCCAGGGAGAAAGGGGAAGTCGTAGGTACGATCGGTGGAAGTGGAAAAAAAGCAATCTGAAGCCAGTCAAGGAGAGATTGAGAACTTTTTGAGTGATTTAGAACATAAGGAGTGGTTGATTCAAAGATGTCTGAGTCATTTCTGTTGCTGACAAGGTTTTTGTGTAATGTCCTCCTGGCTTTAAATGATTTTAGCAAAAAAGCCCTAATATAAAGACAAAAAAGAATGATACAATTTTTATATGCTTTGCACTTTAAAAGTGATGATGTCTAGTGCTTTTTTTCACAAAGAATGTTGCCAAAAATGTCTTGTTTGCAAACAAAACTTCTGGCATACAAACATTGAGCATTGAATAATTATGGTAGTTTTATGAGTCCACAAACCTTTTTGAATGCTTTGAGCAGTTGCTATGTACAATACAAATAGACTCGTGCAAATAGATATACATTTAGCAGGATCTAACACACATTTACTAGGAATTGTTTCATTCCATTCTGATAAGTGAAAATCCAATCTGATAGCAAACAACTTGGGATGAAAAGTCCACTGCTGTAGATTTACTCTGTTGACTTAGCATTTCAGAGTATCTAGAATTTGGCAAATTCTTATATACAAATCTGAAGCTCATTTCCCCTCTCTAAATTCTTCTAAAAATGACAAAAAAATGAATTTAAAGTTCAGATTGAATTTGCACTTGCCAAATTCTGTATACTCTGAAAATCTAAGAAAAGAAAATCAATCCAGATGGGAATGGAATTCTTCTCCTACCATATCTTGGATCATTTGTAACACATCTCTTGGGATCAGCCTAACGGCTGTAAAAATGAACTGCAGAAAACACATTAAGACTGATTTTAAGGATGTTCTTAATTGGTTACATTTTAAGGCAACAGGCTTAAGGCTACATTGATACCTAGTCAGGAAAGAACAGATAAAATGCCAGAGGTCAATCATGTTCATTCCCAGGATAATTCTCCATTCCACTTCCCATCGCAGGATCTACACATCTCTCCTTGTTTTGGCCACTTGGTGCCCTCCCAGGGGATGAGGGGATGTAAAAAACAGAGAGAATAAAGAACAAATAGCTAATTATTGGAGGGAAAGGGGGGGAATTACCTGCAAATTCCTTCCTAAATCCCGACACTCAAGCGAGCTCCAGAAAAGGGCTGAACCACCACCAACACAAGAGTATCTATTGTTTATATCTCCTTGCATCCTACTACTATTGACATTGGTTGGCAGATCCTCGCTTCCTTAAGAAATCTGTCTATATTTCTTTTGAATACATGGATGCTATCTGTGTAACCAGTATCACGTGTGAGTCTGAGAGATATCCAATACTCACTGAGTGAATACATGCTTCCTCATGTCCAGTTTCTAGGTGTGACCTGTAGTTCTGGAACACATGTTGACTGAAGACTATATTGTCTGTCATTACATCAATTCCATGCAAGATTCATAGATTCATAGAATGTTATGGCACAGAAGGAGGCCATTCGGCTCATCGAGTCTGTGCCAGCTCTTTGACAGAGCAAGTCACTTTCACTAACGCCAATCACCAGATCTCAACAAGATCTCCTCTCAATTTGCTCTGCTTCAAAGTGAGCAAGCCCAGTTACTTGAGCCTTTGCTATAGAGTTACCCTCTAAGGATGGAATCAACTTGGTGGACTTTCTCTGCATTTTCTGCAGTGCCATTACACCCTCAGTTCGGTAGGACATCCGGAACTGGACACAGTCCATGAGGTGGGTGGGGCAGTATATGGTACACTGTCAAAATAAGCTCTTAAGATTTGTAATCGATTGTTCATGCTAAACATCCTATCACTCAGTTGACCCTAGCAATGGCCGCCTTGCACTGTGTGATCAATGATCTGTCTTGAGGGAAAGCTTGCCCCTAAGGTAGTAAAACTAAGATTTCTAGTCCTCAAAGTCAATCACATTACTCTGCACTTTTTGACCATGAAAGAACATATTATTGCTTGATGCACACTAAGAGAAATATGTGATCTCAGATGTTGACATATTTATATTGCAAGATTTGTATTTGAAACAATGGTTTACTGTTGTTATTTTATCATCCTGAAAGTCTGTTGGGACTGTATTAAGAAAACATACTTTTCTTTACATTCTAGGGGCAAAAAGGTGATATTGGTCCTGCTGGACTTCTGGGTCCTTCAGGTCCACCGGGACCGTCTGGTCTTCCTGGTCCTCCCGGGAGATCTGCACCAGGTGAGAGACATGCCCCAGACTTGCTTCTAACATATAATGACAAATGGAATTAATCAAAGAAGAAAAGTGGAAGTTAGAATACATTTTTTTTACAAAGAGGTATTAGGAATGTTAATGCAAGAGGTGATCCTTCAGCCGCTGGGCCAGTTGATTATGTTGTAGCAGATGTTTTAATCCCATCCTATCTCAGGACTTTCTTTGGCTTGTAGAGTTAATGAGAATTGAGTGGGAACAATCCCTATACCCAATGACTAATCTTCCCCTCCTAGTCCTCCTGATGAGTTGCCCCTGGAGTATTGCAGGCATCACCTGGTTCAGAACTGGACCGCCAAGATTGCCACAGAAGGCTAACTCGATTCCCACCTTACATTGCCAAGCATGTCACTTTGGAGCCAGTTCAGCTCCACTTCAAGGAGACCCCGATAACTTCTCCTACCCACCCCCCGGGAATAAAGCAGCAATTCTAAATAATAGGTTTCGACAATGCAATGTTCACTGAAGTGATTGGAAGTGCCAGCTGGAGGCACTACACTCAGCCCAAGAGGTTAGATTGAGACTAGCTATTTGTGCAGATCTCCAGGGTGTGAGGAATGCCAGGAGCGTGAAATGGGCGGCTGTGAGAGATGGCCTTTTGCTCTTTGACTATTATTGCACTTCAGTGGCATTCGGAGGTCACCATTCATATTCGCTGTCCCTTTTGCCAATATTACTAATTATGGAGGATTTCAGCAATCACTATTAGCACTTCCCCTGAAGTTTAGCAAATATCGCAAATTAGACCCAAAGTGTATAAATGAGCTAAACACAAAAATCTGTTCTAATTTAAACATATTGGGTATGGGTTAACCATTCCCTTTAAAATAATGAAAGCAGCCAGTGGTTAGTGGGTATTTTTCCCATCCGATTGTTTATCTAGTAGGTGGAGCTCTCACACAAGTAGTCCATTGGGAAGGTTGAGGATACACACAGTGGAGAAGCTGTGTAATGACTGCACACTGACCTTTGATGGACCAGTAGTTCCTGACTCTGCAGATTTAGTTGAATTAATACTAAAGAGCTCTGGCAGTTTGAATCCATCTGAGATTGTGGCTTTCAACATAAATTTAACTGCTCCATTATTAATAAGGTTTTCACAGCTAATCTGACTAGATGGTTGTTCATTAGATTCCTGCAATCTCATTTGTGGCACGTTTTTCTCAATTTCAAATGAAAGGACATTTGGGGGGAAAGTGAGAACAGCCTCACACATTGCTGATGTAATGAGCTATCTGGGGAACACTGCGCAGAATCAGTAAGACAGAAAGCAAGGCAGAGCACTTAAATTACCCTGGCAGTTTTAATACAACTTAAATTACTATGAATTTCAGCAGTAAAAACAATAAAATATCAACCCGGCTGTTCAACAAACGTAATAAAAAAATCTTTCCAACAGTGTGCGCCAAATACGAAGTAGACATTGCTCTGACTGTTCAGGGAGCTCCCCAAAGGACACATTCTCCTGAAAGGAGACAGGAAACTGCCTGTAAATAGCTTGTATGAGAGACTTGTCAGACCTTAAACAAAATGCTAAATACGATTGAGAAAGTAAACTCAGAATGGTACTTTCACTTGAAGCAAGTTAGCAGAATAAGAGAAAACATCATAGGTTCAGGGCTGTGAAGGACAATATCAGGACAGTCACAAGGGAATATTTCTTTACACAGACAGTAATTAACAAATATAATAATAATAATAATAATAATAATAATAATAATAATAATTCTTGCATTTGGCATAGTGCCTTATCACAATCTTGGAGACATTTCAAAGCGCTTCACAGAATATTCTGTAAAGTGAATTGAGACTGCATATTTTGTGGGCGAAACAATAAGAATGAGTTTTACAGAAAGAGTGGTTGGGATCAGGCCGCTGGATTCATTTAAGAAACCGTTTAATGCTGTGATGGGAGGACAGTAGCTTGGGTATTATTGAAAGATGAGATCAAATGGGCCAAAGGCCCTTCTTCATTGCAACCTGTCTTGTGATATTGTATGGTCTTGTGAACTTATTTGCAGTTTATTCAGTCATAGTAACAGAGGATTGTGAAATTCAGAAGAGCTTTATTGAACATCTATTATTAAATACTAAAGTAATTTGCTTCCATTGAAAAGGCCGATTAATGATTGGACCAAAAGGTGAAAGAGGACCTCAAGGACGATGTCACTGTAATCTCCGACAGACCATTAACAACCCATCGCATGGTCTACTCCCAGCCTCAGGCAACTCGCCTCAAGTGCCAGTAGTAAGCGCTTTGTGTTTTATAGTCATTGCCAATCCTACTTTGTATCAGAATATATTAGATTTATCACAGCTAGTTGATTCAAGAATTACATTTGAATGAATCATCCCCATTAGATGGAAGTTCTGTTCTAAGGTTATTTCTCAGATAAACAGTTACACTTTTTTCATTATTTGTTCCATCATTTGCTGCAGGCACTGACACATGCTGGAGCAAGTTGTCATTCTTCATGAGTGAGCCTAGAGTGTGTATTGATAACCTACCTGACTGTGGTAAACACCACAGTCAAATCTATTCCTGTTCTCGTTCAACACTCACACACACGAACTTCTAGCAGGATCACTGGATAGTGATTAAGTGTAGGAGGCCTGGCCAATAATTTTCCTGACTTAAATAGGAAAACTAAAGCCAATTATAATATACCTGCTAATGCCTGGCTGACATCAGGCAACTCTAAACAGAACAGGCACCAAAACTAGGATCTTGCTAGTCAGTATGATTCAGTACCAAACCATGTGGCGGGTTTACCCAGTAATTCATTAAAGGAATACTATTTTTTAAATCCAGATTCAACTGCAGTAATTATTAGTGAGTTTGTGTATGTGTGCGAATCTGATTGTGTGATTATGTGTTTGTGTGTATCTGTGGGACTCTGAGTGTGTGCTTCATTGTGTTGGTGATCATGTGCAATGTGTTACTCTACATTTGTGTGTGTGTGAGCCTGAGTGTGTCTGACTCTGTGTGATTGTATGCACTGAATCTGTGTGAGTGTGTGTACCCAATTCTGTGTGAGTTTGTGTCTGAATATGTAACTGTGAGTGTTTGAGCCTGACTCTGTGAGTGTGTGTGGTGGAGTGTGTCCTGGCCTCAGTGCAGTGGGTGTGCCTGAAAGGTTTTGTGCTCCATTTCAGAGATCGTTATTTTATTGGACCTAAAATATGATACCAACTGAACTCTGCCAGTCTTCCATGAAGCAGCATTCAAACAAATTAGATTGTCTAATTGAAAATCCAAGATGGGCTGACATTGTATAAGAAACAGCTTAGGACCATAACATCCTGCTGAAATGGTGGGGGGGGGGGAAGAGGTATGGTTCATACCACAACCAGTTTTTAGGAATAGTTGTGAAAATGCCACACTTCATAACCGATTGGATAACTTGTTCAATAATTAATGAATCTCTTATGAAAATTGGCATTTTCACCCCAGCAGAATATTGTAGCAAAATATGTTGGTATATGGCCAATGTCCCAGCTAACCGATGGCTTGTTTATACACTGTAGTCACAGAGACCAAATCATCAGCTTCATTATTTAAATTCTTCTGTAGTTCAGTTATTCAATATATTTGTTAATCATGCCCCTTCCTTCCCAGCCCTCTAGAAAATGTTATGACATTATGTGTTATTTGATAGAAACTAAAACCACATGCACTTTTTTTGGTTTAGATATTTGTTGTAAATAGTGAAGAAGAACTGGAAAGGCTAGACACTGAAAATGCACTTGCGTTCAGAAAAGATCAGAGGTCGTTGTACTTCAAGGACACCATGGGATGGCTGCCGATTCAGGTAATAATATTTTAACTCCCGAGACTTCCTCTAAGCTGAACGCGTCCAGTTGAGAGTAACAGAGAAGTTTATATATATATATATTATTAAGCTATAACAAAGTGATATATATACATATATATTATATATATATATGTATATATATCACTTTGTTACAGCTTATGTTCAAACTTCAAACCCATTTCCCCTGTCCTATAGTTTAGAACCATAACGGAGCGCCATCTGCTGGAGTTATATATTAGCCCGAAGAACTAATTTAGGTTCTTGATCATATTGGAAAGAAAAGAACTTGAATTTTTATGTTGCTTTAAGCGACAAAATAGCTCAAAATGCTTTAATAATAATAATAATAATAATCCTTGCATTTGATATAGCGCTTTTCACGTCGGGAGGACGTCCCAAAGCGCTTCACAGAACATACTGTAAAGTGAATTGACTGTATATTTGTGGGCGAACGCGGCAGCCAATTGCGCACAGCAATGTCCCACAAACAGTCGTAGATTGAAAATGACTAATTTATTATTGTTTTTGTTTTTGGAGGGATTATTATTAGGCGTGTGGAGTAAGCAAACTTGCCCAAGGTTTCGCCCTCTGCCTGGAATTGAACTCAGGTCTCTCACTTGCAAAGCGAGTGCTCTAACCACTGAGCTACAGGACTCCACGAACTTTACAGCAATCATTGGCAATTATAGTGATATCTTGTAGTTAAACACAGTTGTCGTTCTGCACAAAGCAAGATCCCACAAACAGCCATGGGGCATCCTGTACAGCCACACATTGCATTGATTCCATCCCACAATTCAAAAAAGGAAAGGGATTTTCTCCTGGGGTCCTGCCTGAAAATCCCTTCTTGGATAAAATTGGTCACTCCGTACTGTATGTAAATTGGATCTTGCATTCATTCACCAACAAAATGTACACATGAAAGCGTGAAAGGACCCATATAAATTAAATTTGTATAGCCATGAAAGGCGCTAAGTGAAGGGCGCTATACAAATGTAATTTGTTGTTGTTGCTGTACAATCACTACACTTTACAGTAGAATCCTGTCAAGTACCTTGAGATGTCCTGCCAACATGAAAAGACATTATATCAAATGCAAGGATTATTATTAAAATTAGTATTAAGGCTAGAAAACAGGTTGTGTGAATCCTACAACTTGTAGGTATATAGCGCCCCTCATGAAGGATGGTAGGAATCCTTAACTTTGACCATCAACAAGTAATCCTCCTGGTGAATGAATACAACATCTAAACACACTCTCCAGCACCTCGGGACGTCCTCACAATGTGAAAGGAGTTAAGTTTTCCAATGCTTGGCTCTTAGCCATAAAGTCAGATTTTGCACCCAGACTAGCAACTGTTCAAATTTAGTGAAGAAGGTTGTCTTAAATAAGGACAATAAGGGAATGGCAGACTTGTTAAATGAATATTTTGCTTCCATTTTCATAGCAAAGGAACAGGACAAAATACCAACGGAACAAGGGAACATAAAAATAAGCTAAAGAGAAGTACTAAATGGATTTAATATAAATAAAAAATGGCAATGGAGAAAATAATGGGACTAAAGATAGACAAATCTCCAAGACCTGATAGATTCCATCCCAAGGTATTAAAAGAAGTGTGGGAGGAAATTGCAGATGTTTTAGTCATAATTTTCAAAAGCTCTCTATATTTGGGAATTGTGACCTTGAGTTGGAGAATTGCAAATGTCACTCCATTATTTAAGAAGGAAGGGGGGAGAAACCAGGTAACTACAGATCTGTCAGCTTAACTTCAATTGTGGGGAAGTTACTGGAACCTCTTATCAAGGACCGAGTGACTGAGCACTTGGACAAGTATGAGCTAATCAAAGAAAGTCAGCATGGATTTGTGAAGGGTGATCATGTCTGATGAATCCAATTGAATTTTTTGAGGAGGTCACGAACATGGTGGATAAGAGTGTATCTATGGATGCCGGCTACATGGACTTCCAGAAGGCATTTGATAAGATTCCACACAAGAGGCTATTAGCAAAAATGAAAGTGCATAGATTTGGAGGTAACCTTGTGACATGCTTGGTAATTGGTTGGGAGGCAGGAAATAGAGAATAGGGATGAAAGGCACATTCTCTGATTGGCGGGACGTGACAAGTGGTGTTCCGCAGGGACCTCAGCATATATATATATATATATATATAAATAACTTGGATGAAGGAACAGGGAGTCTTATATCCAAAATTTGCAGATGACACACATTTAGGAGGCATAAGAAATTGTGTCGATGGGAGCAGGAAGTTACAAAGGAACTTAGACTAAATTAGATTAAATGAGTGGGCAAAACTGTGGCAGATGGAATTCAATGTGGGGAAATGTGAAGTCATTCACTATGGATCCAAAAGTAGGAAAACAGAATATTTTCTAAATGGTGAGAAACTAAGAACTGTGGAAGAGCAAAGGGATTTGGGTATCCATGTATACAAATCACTAAAAACAAGTTCACAGGTACAAAAAGTTTTCAAAAAGGTTAATGGGATTTTGGCATTTATCTCAAAGGGGTGGAATATAAAGGAAAAGAAACGATGCTTCAACTATATAGAGCTTTGGTTAGACCGCATGTTGAGTACTACATTCAATTTTGGGCACTGCACCTCAGGGAGCATATATTAGCTCTTTGTAGATTCACCAGAATGATACCAGGCTAAAAGGGTTAAATTATGAGGACAGGTTTCATAAACTTGGTCTCTATTCCCTTGAATTTAGAAGGTTGAGGGGTGATCTGACTGAAGTTTTTAAAATAATGAAGGGGATTAGATAGGGTAGATACAGATAAACTGTTTCCTCTGGTGGGGAAATCCATGACAAGGGGGCGTAATCTTAAAATTAGAAACAGGCCATTTAGGAGTGAAATCAGGAGGCAGTTTTTCACCCAAAAAGTGGTGGAATCTGGAACTTTCTCCCCCAAAAGGCTGTAAATGCTGGATCCATTCACAATTTCAAGACTGAGGTGGATAAATATTTGTTAGGTCAGGGTATTAAGGGATACGGGGCAAAGGGGGTTAATTGGACTTGAGGTACAGATCAGCTATGATCTTATAGAGTCGTGGGTTTGCACCCGAGTTGGGTGTTGGATTCAGGTAGGGGCCAAGAGTTTGGGGTGGAGGGAAGATGATGAAAGGATAAATCAAAGACCTTGAAGAAGGCTAGAGAAGAGACAAGGTGTAGAGACTCCAGGATGGAGTTCCATAGGGTGGGAGCAATAGGCTGAAACCCCAACACTCCATGGTGGACAGGGCAGGGAACATGAGGCAGGCCAGTGCCTGCTAAGCGCAGTTTGGTAGGGTTTTAGAAGATCACCGAGGTAGGGAAGAGCAAGACCTCAGAGAGATCTAAAAGTGATGATGAGGATCTTGAACTCAGTCTTCAGGGGGATGCAGAGCCAGTGGATCCAGGCAAAGATCAAGGAGATGGGCTTGTAGAGCCTAATGCAGGAGTGGACATGAGCTGTAGGGTTCTGGATGGTCTGCCGTTTTTGGAGGGAAGAATTGGGAAGTCCGTCGAGCAGAGAGTTGGCGTTGTCTAGTCTGGACAGAATTAATGCATAGATTAGGGTTGCGGCAGTCCAAGGGGAGAGGTAGTGATTGTTAATAATAATAATAATAATAATAATAATCTTTGCACTTAATAGAGTGCCTTATCACATATTTTAAAATGCTTCACAGAGTTTTCTAGAAAGTGTAGTGACTTTGTAGGTGTGAGTAAACACAGCAACCAATCTGAATTATGTCTAAACAGCCATAAATTGAATGATCAATTTTATCTGGGGGAATGTTGCCAACACACCGGGAGAAACTGTTCTCTTTTCAAGTAGTGTCATGGGATCTTTAACATCTGCCTGAACAGGCAGTACATGATCTGTACATGCGTCATTGCAACAAAACTGGAGGGTGAAGGTTCAGGTTTATCCATAGCAATTTTAGAACAGACATTAGGAAGTATCTCTTTACACAGAGGATAATTATGAGCTGGAACGTATTACCAGGAAGTGTGATAGAGGCCAGCATGTTGAATACATTTAAGAAATAGCTCACAGCTTTAATGTGAAACCCGCAGGGTGTGTTTCCTGGAAGGAAGAGATCCAACAGGGAAAGCACCTTCTTCTCCCAAACCTTGCTTGTTAACCACAAACAAATCTGTTTTTTTAACCAAAAGTTAATGTTAAAGGTATTGTTTAACTTTGTGTCAGCCTGGCTCTGTGTGTGTCAGTCTGGCTCAGTTGTTAGCATTCTCACCCCTGAGTTAGAAGGATGTGAGCTCAAGCCTCAAATCGGAACGTGGACCTCATATAGTCTAGCCGACGCTCCAGTGTAGTACTGTAGCTGCCCTCCCTCAGATGAACATGAATTCGAGGCCTTGTTTGCCTGTTTAGGTGGATATTGTAAGTGCACGTGTCACTATTCGAAAAGAGAAAGGATTTTATCTGGTGTCCAGGCCAACAATCCCCCAATTAAAATTGTTTATTCACTTCATGGCTGTTTGTGGGACATGTGCAAATTGGCTGCCACATTCACTCACAAAGCATACATCACTCCAGTTTACAGTACATCCTGTGAAGCCTTTTGAGACGTTCTCCCAACATGAAACATAAGCTATACCGAATGTAAGGATTATTATTAATAACTGATGAGATATTAGGTTAATTGTCAGCAGTAAAGTGATGATATGTTACTGACCCATACTCCATGATCCTAGAGTCAGATAGATTGGTTTTCACAGAAAGTTACCAGCACATAATAACCATGCCTTGTACATTTTGCTTTCATGCAGCTCTCCCCGTTCCAGCTAGTGGTATCTTCTCCAGTTGGGTTCTGTGGGGATGGAATAGTTCAAGAGGAAAGTGGTGAGGAATGTGATGATGGAAATAGGATCGTCACTGATAGCTGTATAAGTAAGTCGGCTAAGTTTCATCTTTAATAAAAAAAATTGTATGACACAATGCAAACTCACGTTATAATTTAATTTAGTGTTGCAGAGCTCAGCTCATTTAGTTTCAGGCAAACACAAATTTGAAAATTTCTGGACCAAACGAGTCAAGCAAACCATGTGCACTTACATCACTCCTACCTAAATTCACCCAAGTATTGACATAAAAAATGTCAATGTTAAAGGAAGGTCATGGTTGACCAACTTTATTGAATTCTTTGAAGATGTAACTGATAAATTAGACAAGGGAAATGCATTGGATGTAGTGTATCTAGATTTAGAGAAGGTCTTTCATAAAGTGCTAATAAGAGGCTCATTTCCTGGGTCAATAGAAATGTGTCTGTGTGTTTGTGAGTGTGTATTTCTATGTCTGTGATTATGTCTCTGATCTGTGTCATCAACCTCTGCAATACAGCTGTGGTATGTGTTGGTTTGTTACAGACTGCAAGCATGCTTCCTGCGGTGATGGATACCGATGGGAAGGAGTTGAACAATGTGACAGGAAAGATTTTGGTTACCAGACCTGTAAAATATATCTTCCCGGGTAAGCTCATAGAGGGCATCACTTCCTTACCTTTAATACAGCGCAACCTTCCGATTCAAATAAAATACAGCAGCTCTGGGATTCCTCACAAAGAGCATGCAGCAAAAATATGCAGCCATTTTTGTTTTATAAATCATTCCCTATATTTTAGCCTTTGTTTCTCCTACTGTAAAATTCTCTGGAATATTCTTCAATCCTGTCCAGTAAGGCAATTAGGAGACCAGCTGGTAGTTGAATTCTGCAAATGATGTTCTCTAACCAGTCTCTAGGAGATGAATGAAACTGGCCAGGGTGAGTGGCCCTTAAAGTCATCTCCGTCCTGCTGATCTATGCTGAGTTCACCTTCCTAACCACCCACGGCTGAGATCAGGAACTCAGCGATCACAAAGCCTGTGTGCTGTCACTCAGTATACAGCACATCTGCCTGTCTCGTACCTCTTCTTATGTTCCCTTTGGAGGGAGAAGTCTCTCTGTGTCCAGTATTGTATGAGCGCATTTACTTGTATATAGTTTTCGCTAAACAAACATAAATGAGATCTTGTTCTTTCTTTGTGTCCTGCTTCCTTTAGGTCTTATGGAAACCTGAAGTGCACTTCCTATTGTTACATTGACTCCACAAGCTGTCGATATTTCACATGAGGCTGAAGGAGGTGGATGCTGTGTCACTTCCCACTGTAAAACATTCATCTGGTGCTATCGCAGAACCAATGGGATTGTGCTATGCACACTCAAACCTCCATTCAACAAATAACAATAATCAGTTGTGGCTGGAAGGCACTTAGAAAGCCAGGATTTATTTCAAGTGATTGTCTGGATGAGAATTAGGACCATTGCATTTTGTCTTAAAAAAAACAACAGCAGCAAAAAAGGATGATATTGTATTTGCTTTACAGGAATACCTTTAAAATACCCTTTTCTGGATGGTTACATCCAGAGACTGTTCATGGTTGTTGAAGGACAATACTCAGGCTGAAACAATAGGCAATATGATATCGTTCCTCAAGAGACCGGAATCAGAACTGCCATACCTCAGTTGTGCACTGTTACAGACTAGTGTAGTTTTACATACAGGCTTATTCAAGGAAAAGAAAAAAAAAATTGGATCCTGGATGCTGTGTTGATACGGTGACAAAAATACCAACAATTATTGTAATGTGAAGTGCTATTTATTGCATTTGCATGAGTATTTATGCAACAAAAGCATCAATCATATATGAAACTTTTCCATGCCATTATCCTGCAGAGTTTAGTGTTTTTACAAGATGCACATGTTTTTGTCCCTCCCCTCAGCCCCAGCTACGTGTAAATTTAAATGCTTAATGCCCTGACCACCAATAACCATTAATAATGGAAATCTGCCATGTTGATGTGTATACTATGTTACATGGAAACAGGTTGTGGGAAACGGACAAAAGGAAACAGGGAGGCTTCTCCCCCCATTCCACACACCCCCAGGTACACACGCATGCACACGCACACACACACACATCCTGTAATTTGGAATACAAACAAATGGATGTGCAACTGAGTGTATTATGTCTTTATCAAGCATTACATCCAAGAGTGTATCTCTGGGGAGATGGACATTAGGCGTTGACAGCAGGAATAGGAAGAATGATTTGCAGAAACCCCCCACCCCATCCATTTCGCCCAACAAATATACAGTCAGTTCACTTTATAGTATATTCTCAAGCGCTTTGAAACGTCGCGAAGATGTGATAAGGCACTATATCAAATGCAAGGATTATTATTATCATTAATATCCCCGCCAGCACTGTTTTCCCTTTCCTCCCAAAGCAGAGAATTTTTAAAGAAACCTGCATTACATTTGGAATGTTACAGTTGGACCTGGGACTGCTTTGAACCCCGGGCCCAGCTCCCCCACTGCACCAGTGACTGAAAGAACTGAATGCATAAAGAAAGTATACGCGCTGCATACATCACAGTGGATGAGCTGTCAATGGTTGCACAGCAGTCTGCTACAATTGGCAATGGAGACGTGCATAATAAGATGGACATTGTAGTTAAAGTATGATTGATCCCCTCTTTGACTTCACAGAAAGAGTTTTGTTACATGTACCTATGCATGTCCATGATACTGGAGTTTACAAACTGTAGAAATAAAAGGAGCTCAATTAGGCTTTCTTTGTTGTATTTTATTCTTCATTAAACAAACCCATGCTAATCCCTGAACATTATTACTGTGCCAAATATATGTTTCTTTTAACTTATCAAAAAGCTTAACCATTGTTTCCCTTCACGAGGTGAGGGATGTGAATAATGTGTTCTACTTTTGACAGTCAGTGCTGACACTAAGTGCATTCAGGTTAAATGTAGCAGACGTGAAAGGTGGAATGGAGTACTTTGTGCCCCACCAAAATGTGGAAAAAATTCCATCCAGTGTTAGAAAGAGCGCCTTTAGCGACTGCAACAACACCTATTTATATTTATACAGTGCCCCTCAACCAGGATAGCATCTGGAATGCTGCACAGTGGTGGGATTGGACCAGACCATGGGAGAAAGGGGAGGTGACCATAGGCACAGTTGAAGAGTTAACAGGGATTTTAAGCCATAGATGTCTCAATCCAAACAAGAACAGGTATCCTTTCTGCACCAGCATGCCATCTCTTTTTACAACGAAGGCTTCTGAATGTGATGGTATGGACTGAATAAATTAAGTTCACTTCGGATCCCTCTGGTCGTCAGCTGGAGAAGGAATGCGCAAAACTAGCTTTCTGTTTGTTTCCCACCTGCTAGAAATGAGGAAAATGTTATAACCCACTGCACTATCTCAGTCTGCCTTCCACATCTGATGGTAACACTGAACAGTAATGAATGTTTATGTCTTATTGCCTAATTTTCTCTGCAGTGTTTGATCAGGTCACAGCAGCATGTGGCTGGGGTCAATATTATTGCTGCTCCGTATTAACTGAAACCATAATGGTCTCACTGCTTCAGCTCCTCACTCGGAGAGATGCTGGAGAGAAGCACCACATTAGTATGAAGATTGGGAATAAAATGACATCACTGAAACTGCCTCAATAAAGTCAATCTCTTACTTTCTAAATGCTCTCAGTTCCGTAAGCCCCAAATCCACTAATTCTTGGAAATTTGCAGTGAATTGTTTTCATGTTCAAAAAGACTGATTTGATTCTGAACGTTAAGTTCCAATTGCTAAAAATCTGCTGACTCTACAGACAATTTGGCACAGTTACTTTCAGTAGAAATAAAAGTTTTGGCTTTTCTGTGGCTTTGTTGAAGGAGACTACCAACCTGACACAAACAATAGGCCCTGTTGTGGTCTGCATCAATCCTACCTAAATGCTTTTCACTTGAGATTCTTAAAGCTAGAACATTTTAATCCAGACTGATGGGACAAGGTTAGCGCCGGTTAGTGAATGGGCTGTGTTCCCTTATTACCCACTGCCTCATTTAAAGTCCATCTAAAGTCCTGGCTTAAATTCATTTCCAAATATTTCACTGACAGCCACATTGCATTCCTTAAGGTGATGACACACCAAGGTCAACTATACACTAAAATTATTTTTATTACCCCTGAATTACAGTATTTCCCAATATAGAAATGTAATAGTAATATTGTTGTTTTCACCAATTGGTGCATATTGGGTCCTAATATTTTATATTATATATTGCCAGCATCTTGGGATGTCCTTCCACCGTGGAAGGAACTCAATAAATTTAATTTGTTGTTATTACAGTTTGATACCTTTAGTTCGAAATTCCTCAGTGCTTGTTATTTTTCATTGCTTATTCCCCAAAAGTTTTTTTTATATTTTACAATTGTGTGGTTTGCTAAGATAGAGATTTGCTGTGAAGCATCAAAGCATAAATACTGTTTCAACGGGACCTGTGAATTTTCTGGTGTTCAAGTAAAGCGTTATCCTTTGCTTGTGCCTAGTCAGTGGTGGATTCTCCATGGGGTGCGGTCTGTCATTTGGATACATTTGGGACTTAAATTATTGTATGTATATACAACCTCAAGGAATAGAGTGTGACTGAAGCCATAGGAAGATCCTCATGTTGGGCAGTAAACATAGTTAACAAATCAGGTGGAAAATATGGAGGCAAAAGGACAGCAATATTAAGAAGCTGAATCATCAACAGCAACCACCCAGTCAATTAACCCAGAGTGCTCCAGTTTATTACTTATGTGGCTTTAGCCCTCTATGTTGGTTCACCTCTCTACAGGACTCATTAACTCGGTTAAAATCATTTCTATACATAACATTATCTGCACTCGCTATTTTAAACAAAGTTCAAGGAGGTGAAAAATGGAAAGAAAATTCAAAGTCATATTTATCACCGGTGACTAGCACATGTTTCTCCCGGCAGAGTTAAAACTTAACACATAGTTGTTCTTAGTTATTCATTTAAAAAAGTGAAATTACCGATGAGATGTCATCAGAAAAGTAGTATTTAGAAGGTGTTTAGTCGAGTATAAGGTTGGGTTATGATAGTATTCCATAAACAGGAACTGAACCATTGTGATCTATTCGGCTTCAAAGTCAAAGGCTACATTGGGTAGCCGAATGTATTTTGAGTGAAACCATTTGGCAGAAGAAGAGAGGAATGTCCCATGATGTGAAAGTTATCATCAGTGGTAATTATTATATCACATACCACATGTTTCACCCTAGTAGGTTTGGACATCTCCCCACCAAAATAGCAGATTAATCCTCTGCAATTCGGATTTGCAGGACCAAGGTCAGATTTCTGCTGGCGAGGCCAAATTTAGAATTGTGTATTCTGTGCAGTTTTGGGCATCCTTCCTTCACAAGGAATTTGATGCGTTAGAGAGAGTTCAGAGAAGAATAGCAATGATAATAAAGAGAGTCATACAGAGATGGGGAAAATAATCTTGAGGGACTATAATAATAATCATCCTAGAGTACTTTATCATATTGAATTATTCAAAGTGCTTCACAGTGTTCACTATTAAGTGTAGTGACTGTGATGTTGTGGGCAAGCAAAGCAGCCAAATTGTCTTCAGCAATGTCCCACAAACAGCCAGGAGATGAATCATCAATTTAACAGGAGGATTGTTGGCCAGGATACTGGAAGAAACTCCCTTCTATTTTTGAATAGCATCCTTAACATTTACCTAAATAGACAGATGGAACCATAGGTTAACATCTCAAAATTTGTGAGTTGTGCTAACCAAATGCCAAACTCAAATGTAAAGATTTAATTACAGATGCCCTCAATTAATAATAATAACCCTTGCATTTGCTATAATGCCTTATCACTTCAACAAAATGTCTCAAAGCACTTTGCAGTATTTTTCCTGTGAAATATAGATGACTGTATTTATAGGCAAATTGTCTTTAACAATCAATAAAAAGGATTCCATGTGATTCCATATTCTTTACATTGGTTCTTAACAGCATGATTATAGACAGCATTTAGACATGCTTAACCCACCCCATAAATTAAACACCATGGCAAAAACTGATAGGATAGATTAGATCAAAGTAAGTTTCATCTCTTCCAGAATTTGGAACTATAGATAAAATAGCATAAACTAAACACAGGAATATCATTTCATTTCTTTGATTTTGTTGACTTTCTTTATTGCACAAGCTCTACATGCTTTCTCCTACAAAAATACACAGTCATTACACTTTAAAGTAAATCCCGTGAAGCGCTCTAAGATGGGCTCCTGATACTATAAAAGGCGCTATATCAAATGCAAGGATTATTATTATTATTTAAAGAAATACCTTGAGTCACGACTACAATTTTACGAGTATTCTCATCCATCATCTGCACTGATTGCACTCTGCCTATCTATTTGTTATGAGTTAGAATTTGTGTTTTTTCCATTGGAATCACATAACAAAAAGATTGCTAGGTTTAGCAATCAACAGAGGATAAACCAAAGGCAGCGATCAGGATGAATTCTGTAGCATCAGTGAGGCACTAAAAGAAATTATTCTAAAAACGAAAGTCTACAGCACATTTAGAAGAGGAAAGGTTTCCCATTTTTCTTGGACTAATCTCATTTACTTGTGCAGAATATTCCAGTCACGTGTTTAGCCCTTGTGAGAAATGCACTGACTGTAGAATCATCTATCAAGCCTGAGCTCAAGTAATTGGGGTCACTTGCAACAATAACTCTTTGAGAGTGGTAAAATAAAAACGGAGGCTTCTTTTAAGCTAATGAGCTTTTTGAACGATTTAAGAGGCTTTCAAAAAAATCAGGATTTGACATTTCTCTCCTGTCCTGGAAGTGTGTCCAAGATAACTTCAGAACATTACGGGTTATATTATGCTCCAGTTTCTTGCACCAGAAAGTATGGTAGATGGGTATGTGACTCAAATTTCTGCATGTTCTGTTCCTAATTTCTATTCTGAGCAGCTGGCACAGGCAAAGAAACATAGAAATCTACAGCACAGAAGAAGGCCATTCGGCCCATCAAGCCTGCAGAGCTAGGATATCGCTTCACCGTCTTGCCTTCGCCCCAATACTCCTTCACCTCCACCCGTTCATATGCCTATCTACTTCCCTCTTGAAAGTTACAATAGACTCTGCCTCCACCATCCTACTCGGCAGAGCATCCAACTACTCTCTGAGTGAAAACAAATCATCCTAAGTGCTCCTTCCACTCTTCTTGTGACTATTTTATAATAATAATAATCCTTGCATTTGATATAGCGCTTTTCACGTCTTCTAGACGTCTCAAGGCGCTTCACTAAGGCCTTTTTGAAGGCAGGGGCAAAAAAAACCACTGAATCAATAATTGTATTCAAGCTCTATTTTTAATGAAGCACAATTGCTCAATCAACGCTGAATTAACCTAGCTTCTGCACAACAGACTATTGGCACCAATAGAGCAAGGGTCTAGTGATTCTAGACCCAGGTGAAATTTTTCCCCTGATGTGTTTGATAAGTTGATGTCATATTAATATCATATCATTATTTAATTGTATTTATATTTATTTTGTGTTTTTCCTCTCTGCAGCGCTTCTTAAAATCATTAAAAATGCGATTGAATTCATATAAAAAAACCGGAAACTTCCACAAGATAATATTCCAATGGGGATAATTTTAGTAGTGTCCAGAGTTTGAACTGTCCTCACCAAAAATAAAATGTTTATTTTTTTAAGAAAGAACATTG